ATATAAAAGCTCTCTTTAATATATTTAATGAAGAACTATTCAAAGTAAACGTTTGGTTTACAAGCAATAGGCTTTCGTTAAATGTGGAAAAAACTAAATTTATTTTATTTTCTAAACCTAGTAAAGGAGATGATGTTCCTCTAAAATTACCCAATCTCCTAATCAATAAAACATTTATTAAAAGGGAACCAATCGTTAATTTTTTAGGAGTAATAATAGATGAAAATTTATCATGGAAACCACATATAAAATATATAGAAAATAAAATATCAAGAAATATTTATATATTATATAAAACTAAACCATATCTTAACACCTCTTCTCTAAAAAAAATATACTTTCCATTTATTCATAGTTTTATCTCTTATTGCAATATTGTATGGGGTAGTGCTAACTATGGTAAGTTGAAAAAACTTCATAGTAAGCAAAAACATGCATGCAGGATTATATTTGGTGCCCACAGAACTTTTCCATGTGAACCTTTTTTAAGGAAGTTCGGTGCCCTAAGTGTCTATAAACTTAATATACATCAATTTCTACAATTCATGTTTAAAACTAAACATGAACTCTCTCCTATTGTATTTCAGTCTTACTTTAGTGAAATCTCGCACAAGTATCCTACTAAATTTTCAATTAATAACTTTATTGTTCCAAAATTCAGAAAAGAATCTAAGAATCTCTGATTACAAAAAGACTTTGATTTAAATTATCTCATTTAAAAATAATACACAAATAATATAAATTATCTAAAAAAATAGTTATTGACACTACTTCTCTTTTGTTGCAATTTTAATCTAATTTAATTTTTTGTTGAAAAACTTTAATACTTTTAAATTGTTGTTAATCTTTAATATAAAGCGTTATATTTCAACACTAATATTTATATTATGTTATTAGTTATATTGCAATTAACGTATTTAAAATTCTTGTTATGTACTTAGCTACTCTTCATTTTTTATATTAACTGACGATTTTTTAATGTAAATTTTATGATGGGGCTTGATGATAAGACAACTTATGTCTTCTGCTTGCTCCAGTTCTCTTATTAACACGATTTATTTCATTGTAAATTTTAATATATGACAATACTCTTTGAAAAAAAAAAAAAAAAAAATTCTTGTAATACTTAAAAAATTGTTTTAATACTTAATAATTAAGTTTAAACAAATGTGATGCGTTTTGGTACTAAGGAAATCCTACCTTCAATAACTATTTTTGAATAAACGGTACCGGTAACTCTTATTAATTTTTTTATACTTAATAAAAAAAATTAAAAGTTACCGGTAACTAAAATTAAGTTATTGGTAAGTTACCAATAACTTACCGGTCACTAACATTACTATTACGTAACTAGTTTCTTTAATTTTTATGAGTATCTTTTTTAATACTTTTTTTTTTTAAATTGACTAGTATTTCTTGGGGTACCACCACTATTGATAAAAAAACTTGCCGCAGGATTTTTTCAAAAGTAATTTTTTATGGTAAGATTTCCTAAGTACCAAAATACCGATAATAGCAGTTGAAAGAAAATATACCTAAATTATATCAAGTTATTTTGTATAACTAATCTTTTTAATACATGCCTGTATTAGGTTTATGACATTTTAACTGTTTTAACTGTGTTTTTTTTTGTTTTTTTTTCTGTTCTTCATAAATATAATTTTTTTCAACGTAATATATAAAAAGGATTGTTATTGTTTTGAACAATGTTAATATACTTTTAGAGTTTGTGGCTTGTGTAGCGCTCGCTACACAAGCGACAGGTTCCGAGTTCGATCCTCACCATGTCCCTGCTAGTACCGCGCTCTTGTTTCTCCGCGCAGCGGCCTTGTTTGTCAAGGTTTATGTTTTGGAGTTTTAATTTGAGGTAGGAATATAACCACAATTAAATAGCCTCTTTTTCTGTCTCCTGGTCTTCTCGGACTTGGCAAGGGTACATAAGTGTTCTACTATGTAATACCAACAATTTTTATTATAATTATTTTATCGGTACATGTACAGTTTTCATTTTATAGACCAAAATAGCAATTTTCTACTTAAAGCGTAATTTGAATAGTCTTATGATAATAGTGTCGACACGGCCTTCATAGTGGAGGTGGTCAACTCCTCAATTTCTAAAATAAAATCCATAATTTCTAAAATAACTGCCTATATTTCTAAAACAAAAGGTCCTCGCAAAAAAAAAAGTGGGCAGGCCATGGCTCCCTTGACGGCCATGTATGCATAGCGTGAATATACCAACATTTCCTAACGTATAAACTACTGCCAGAATGCAAAAAAATATGGTTAAGAAGGATTTCTAGGGATACCTACATAGAAAATAAAAATATTTGTTTATCTGAAAACAGAATAACTGTGAAAAAACCAAATATTTTTTATATTGACAAAGAGAATTAACTTAAAAAATTTAGATAAGTTAAATAAGATATCTGACCAATACAAAGTTTGGAGGGCTAGTCGGAGGAAAATTACTCTAACTGAATAACTAATTAGGTTGAAGGGTTGTTTTGAAAAATAAATTAAACAACCCATGTGACAAGTATCATTAGTTTAATAAGTGTGATAATTATCAATAATCTAATTTCCTTACAAGTAAATAGTTTAAACAGTTATTTCCTGGTAAGGAAAGAACTATTCAAGACTTATTTCCTTGTAATTTAATATAACCTCAATTAAATTAATAAATATTTCCTTTATTTTTTTAGTTTTTAATTAATAATATGTGTTACGATGCTAAGTGTAATATTTGTATTAAAAGAGTACATTGAGCTATTTATTAATAATCTTTTGGTGGAGAAAATCAAAAAAACATTTCTTAAAATGTAATTAGATATTTGATGGTAATACAATGTAAAAAATAGGGTTTAAATAGTTTTGACTTCATTTTAAAAGTAAATATATTTAAGGAGGTCAATACAAAATATTTTAGGAGATCTACTTTTTTTTTTTTACAAACTGGTAGTCCTTTGACCAGGTTTTGCACTTTTTTTTAGCTTTTTTTTTTGGCAGCAGCTTATACCTTAGGAAATGTTAGTATATTCAAGCAAAGCGTACATGGCTGTCAACGCCAGGGAGGCTAGGGGGTCATGTCCTTCTCTACTTTTTTATGCGAGGATAAAAAAGTAGAGAAGGACATGACCCCCTCTTATCATAGTTTTATCTCAATAAAACTATGATAAGAGGGGGTCTTATCATAGTTTTATTGAGGGGGTCTTATCATAGTATTATCTCTTATCATAGTTTTATCTCAATAAGAGATAAAACTATGATAAGAGATAAACCCTATTAGCATAAGACTATTTAAATCACGCATTAATTAGAAAATCACTATTTTAGTCTATAAAATGAAAACTGTACATTAACCGATAAACTAATTATAATAAAAATTGTTGGTATTACATAGTAGAACACTCATGTAACTGTTATTTTAAAAATAGTGACCGAATTTCAAAGTAATCGGTAACGCTTAGAGGTATAAGTAGCAAAAAACTGACAAAACTTTAACTAAAACTGTAATAAATCCTACATCAGTCATCCAATCATGCTGAAATTGTGTACAGAGTTTGGTGTGACTATTTGTTACATTTGCACTAATTTTTATCAAATTATATTGAGTTGTTCAAATTCTACAAGTGTTTTTATTGGCGCACTATGAAGTCAAAATTTGACTTTATAGTGACATGACAGGGTACCTTGATGTGTACGCTAACTTTACGTATAAGTGGCGTTCTTGGGACAGCTATGTAGACATTATAAAGATCCGTCCTAACCGTGTCCGAGGTATCATCGAACACTACAGGAAAAAAATTTTATAATAAAGATGTTTAACGTAATTTTAAAAACACAAATTAAAAAAAAACGTAAAAAAAACCTTTTTACACAATCAAATTTGCCAAGTATACTAAAAAAAACTTTTGTTTATTATAATGAGTTATAAAAGATGGGTGACACCAACTACTTTTTTTAAAGAGATTTTTGGCAAGACTTTTTTCAAAATTACTTATTTTATGATTTCTTTTTTAAAATGCAATTAAACGCAGAATACCCCGATATTTGATTTCTCAATCTCAAATCTAAAACTTGTTTGGTTTTTAACAACATTATTAGTTAAAAATTGTATCCTCTTTATGTTTCCTATCCCATACACTGAACCTTATATTCCTTATACAATACACCAAACCTTGTATTTCCTATTCCATACACCGAACCTTGTAATCCTTTGTCACACATCATACTTTGTATTCTTTGTCCCATTTACCAAACTAGTCCCAGTCCCGCTACGATTTATTATTTTTTGTTTTACAGTACGAAAAACAAAATATTTTTATAGTTACAATGACTATTGCAATGATTATAATCATAATCTGTTGCCCCTCCCCTAATGAATCCCATAGTGTGTATTGTTTGAGACGTCTCAAAAAATTAACAAAATATTTTTTAATTACTTTCATTCTAATCAATTAATATACAAATAATAAATATAATTTAATTTTTAGAAATGATAAATATATTAACTTCTCAGAACAAAAGAATAAAACACAAACAGAAAAACAGAAAATACTACACGAAGCATTGGATAATTTTAGAAAAATTTAAAAAACTTTAGAAATAACTAAAATAAAAATATACAAAAATAGTAAACTTTTTTTCAAAAATTTTATTAGTTATAAATTCATATTAAAAAATCAGGTAAATCCCTCGGAATTAGGATCATATAAAAAAATTAAGTAACCCTCGGAATTAGGGTCGGCATTCGGCAATTCCGACCTAGAAGTGTTTAAGGTCGGCAAAAAATCACCACGTTTCTATATTTTATGGTAACCCCTTTGTTTAAAAAAATTTTAGCCGACCTGATGTCAACGTCTAACAGTTTGAAGTCAGCAATTTACTTCCGATCTCATTTTTCCTAATTCCGAGGGTTGATATATATATATATATATATATATATATATATATATATATATATATATATATATATATATATATATATATATATATATATATATATATATATATATATATACACACACACACACACATAATTACAATATGTTAACAACACCTTGCATTTCGCTGTTCTCGTTGTTTGTCTTTATTTGAGGGGTTTATTTTCAAGTCAATAGTTTCATTGGGATCCTCAGTATCTTCATGAGAATATATGTTATTAGATTTATCGTTTTCGAGTATCTATGAAGAAAATATTTTTGAATACATTATTTTAATTGCTTTTAAAAAATTAGACTCCCATTGTGTAAATGTGTTTAGATAAAACCTTTTTAAATTAATTAGGGGAGAGTCGGGTAGGCCCGGACACTTACGGAAAATATAGATTGTGCACATGTGCCAACAGAAAAAAAGTGTCAAAAGACTTTTTTTAAAAGTTCAAACATTCATCTATCGATTTAGAAACAAAAAAATATTTTTTGTGTATCTTAATAATATACAAAACATAAAAGAAAAAATGTTAGAAAAAAGGCATGTTTCAAAATTAAAAGGTAGCCCCGCACACATAGTTTAACTATGATTTTACCTCTTTTTTTACCAGTGTGACACAAATGTAATATATAATGACTTAGGATTGGACTGTTCTCGACTCATTTTTAATTGTCATCATTTAAAAATATAAACGTAAGCTTTTTTATAATGAAAATAAACACTTTAAAAACACTTTTTTCAAATCTAATGTTTTTTTATTGGAATTAAATGAATTACTGTTATAGGTTTGTGTATTATATTAAATGTATTATTATTTATATAAAAAAAAGTTGTTTATTATTAATAAGTAAACGAATTAAGTTGTCCGGAGCCACCCTCCGAACATGTGTCCGATACCACCCGATCATACCTTATTCACAAATACTAGTTTTAAAACCAGTGAATTAAACTTTTTTAACGAATTTTTTTTTTTAATAACTATTGTAAATAAAAATATATCATTAATCATTAAAAAATTATTAGTTTACATAAAAATTAGGTATATTAATGTGAATCAAATATGATAATACGTATATACGTATATACGTATACACGTGTATACGTATATACGTATATACACGTATACATTTGACGTATATATTTTAGTTTAAGCTGTTCATCAAGTGTCCGGAGTTACCCGCCGTCCGGAGCTACCCGACTTTCCCCTAAAACGTAATTTAAATGTTTTTATTTTTCCTGTGAATTAAATTCTCAAATAATTTTAATATATTATATAAATCAAAAACAAAATCTTATCTACACCACACCCTATAAACGCCCTATAACACACCTTATAAATCAAAAATATTTTGTACAAACTGAGCACTACTAGGATATGATATGGCGTTAGAACCTCTTTCTTGAGCGCTCTAACTATTTAACCATTACAGCACTAAAGTATTTAATTATTATATTAAAAATAATATATAAAAAGTTATAGTATTACAAAAACTCTAAAAATATATATTACAGTAACCTCAAAAAATTATGAATTTTTTAACACACTAATACCACAGCTGTTTTTCAAAACGCCTTAAAGTAAAAAAAATCAAAATTGACATTTTATAGAAAGTAAGCTTATTCAGATGCCTACAAATGTTATTTAATAAATGTTTTTGAAGAATTATGAAAAAGTTCATATAAATTATAAGTTTCAAAAAACGATTTACAAACAGTTTGTCGCATTATTATTATTTAATTGCGTTTTTCTCAAAATACGTAAAAAGCATCTTAAGGCGTTTTGAAAAATGGGTGCAGAATAAAGCTTCAAAATACCTTCTCTACCAAAGATTTAGCAACATTATCCACATTAATATTTTCCTTCGCACTTGTTTCAAACCAACTATGGAAACCTTTTTCTACACAATATTTGTCCATATAACTTTTATTATTGACAGTTCCAACTTTAGGTAGGTCACACTAAAACATTAAAATTATTATTTTTTCTATTATAATTTTTACGATGAAAAGTAAAATTAAATGAGTACCCCCTGGTAATAAACGACTGGGGTTGATATTTGACCGTGGCCAGGACAGGGGTTGATAAAATATAGTCGGGGCCGGGTTTATGGTCGAGGTTGCATAAACAACTATACATCCTAAAGTATATTTTTTTAATTAAAAACTTATGTTATATCTTGTATATATATGCATATATAACCATCATTATGATCATCAAAATCATCATTACCATCATGATCATGATCATGATGATCATAATCATCATAATTATTATCATCATCATTGCCGTCGCCATCATCATCATCAGGTTTTAACTTTCCTAGTTTATGCTATTTCTCTAATATAAACAATCTAAAACGTTTTCTTTCTTTAACTAAACATCGTTCATGCAATATATAAAGCACTCTCGTCAAGTTTTCTTGTTTCTACCACTACTATTTCTCCTGAAGCTTTTACCTCTCTACATGCTGATACCTAAATCTTTTTAATCTTCTCTAACGTTTTCCCATAGAACGCTTTTTTCTAATTTGTCTAAGACTATGCCTCCTTTTCTTATCATGTTAGAGTCACACCACACATTCATCTGATCATCTTCTATTTTGGCAAAGACTACACCATATAAATATGAAAGAAAATTGTTTGCCAGCATCTAAATAAATAGCAAAAATATATGTTTATACCCATAATATGTATGCATAAAGCGCATCTTGAAAACTTTTTTTCCTTCTGGAATAAAAGCTTGGAAGCTTCTATTCCTTCTTTTTAATATTAAGTCAAGTCTCATTCTACTCTACATTTTTTACCATCTTGAGCAGTTGCTTTATTAAACAGTAATCATTTTTTTTTATCTTTTTTACAAGAACATTTCTCTTATAAACAAATGTCCTTTTATTATTCCAAGAAGCCAATGTAAAAAGGTCCTGTCTGATGTTAAGCTCTGTTATATAAAGTTTACTAAATCTTGTTTCTCAGATTTCTTGTTTCTTATCTCAGATGTTAGGATCTAAAGACTTTTGGTAAGTCTTCAACTTTTTAATCTTCACTTAATCTTAAAACTTAATCTTAAATATCTTTTCATTAACTAAAGTAAGTCTAACATTTAATCTCTAATTCATGACTTTTTACTTCTCCCCAGAATAAGGCAGAATTTTTTATAAAAAAATCCTTCTCTAATTCAACTCTTGAATCTAATGGCCACACTCTTCCTGCCAGTTAAACAGATTAACCTATTGTTAAACATAAAATTCAATATGGCTTCTAATCTAAAATCAATATGGCTTCTAATAATCAATATGGCTTCTAATCTAAAATTCTAAAGTTAATTCTCAAATAAAAACTTCTACAGTTTGTGCTCCAGACAATATTTCCATCATATTCTCAAAAAAGTGTTCTCCAGAACTCTCTTCAGAACTCTCAAAAAAATTTTTGCTAAATTTTTAAAAAGTGCTAAAACAAGTTATTCTTGAAGGCCTCCACTCCATTTTATTTCAAGTAATTTTAAGAGTACCACAAAGTCTTTGCTCCTGTAATGTTTCTTATCTATAATAACAATCTTCACAAAAATTTTACATCTAAAGTACCTCTATTAGCTAAGGACCCAACTTTATACTCTTGTCTTGAAAAAAATCTTCACTTTTTGATTGCTTAGAACAAGTGTCAGTTTTTAATCTGATCTCTCTTCTGTAAGAGCCTAAGACTTGCAGTGGCTTGTGGATTTGAATTTTTAAAGGCAACAAAACTCATTTATTTACTGCAAAAAAATATTGCAATATTGTTGGCATTCCTATATTGACAAATAACAACCCTCATACTCTCAGACAAAGTCTAAAAGCACATTGTAAATATAGTTAGACCTGCTTTATCTGCCAAGCTTGAATTACTCTCCGATTGTTGCAAGGTTGCATTTTATTCTTTTTTTTTACAAATACTATCATGGTCAATGTTCAAACAAGCTATTACGATATCACTATTACTATAAACCAAAACTCATTCTTACTTGGCTTCTTCATGCTATAAAAACTTTTATTAATTTATTAAGTTTTTGTCCTTAAGAGGCTTTTGTCCTTAAAAAGCTTTTTCGCACATCAAAAAAGCCTTTTAACTCTTTGTCATCTTCGTGTTTTTATTTTTAATACATTCTGCAACTTTAGAAGGTTTCAGTTAACTATTTTCTAGTATTTTAACCTGTCCTCTATTTTAAAGTAACTCATAACTTAATAGTGGTTGCTTGCAACCTTGTTGAAAGTAAATTAGAGTTTAAAAATATATTAATATATGCCAGTATGTAATAAATAGTAAATATTAAATTAAAGTAAATATAAAATTATAATACAAAAAGTAATATATATTCTAGCTCCAGCTATCAACCACTGCTAAAGGGTAGGACCAGGGGGTAGTAACTTACTACCCCCTGGCCTACAATCTTAAGACTACAGACTGGCCCTTTCAATCTTAACAAGATAAATAATAATAAAAAAAAAATCTCTAAGTTGTAAAAAATAAGGAGTAGTTTCGAAAAATTCTACGTTACAGTTTCAAAGGAAAAAATTCAAATGTCTCAATTGGACTGAACAATATTAAAATTTCATGTCGAAGACACCTTACTAAAAAAAATTAATATTCAGACATTTATCTTCAAGGCTTTACTCCCCCTCCTGCCCAAATATTTTCAAATTTTACTGAAATTAGACTACTTTTTAAATATTGTCTCTTTAAAATGTGAAAAGACACAAGCTCAATTATATGTCATCTTTATTAACTTCATCTTATATGATAACATAGATTATTTACACATCAAATAACTAACAATAGTCAATATTGTATTGTTATACAGGTTTCTATGCTAAAAAAGTTAGTATTTCAGAATTTAGGGTTGAAAAATCAATTCAAATTAAAAAAAATAAAAATAAATAATAAAAAAAAATTTGTAGCTTCATTAACTGTAGTTGCCATCTCTGGAGCATTGGAAAGGTAAAGTTTATAAAATAAAAAATACGAATTTCATGTGTCTATTCTAGAGACAGCAAGCAAACCTGGAAAATCGTATTTTTAACAAACTTTTATAAAACTATTTATACGTGTTATTATGCTTTTTTTATTTTAATATGATTGTGCCATAAAAAATATATATTGATTTAGCAACTGATAAATTAAAAACTAATGTTTCATAAAAAATATTTTTTATTTTTTTAAATATCCTGATATAAACCATGATAAAATGTATTTAAAAATATGAAAAAAAATATTTTTAAACATTGAAATTTATTTTATATTTTAAAAATATATTATATAAACATTGAAATTTATCTTATATTTTAAAAATATATTATATAAACATTGAAATTTATCTTATATTTTAAAAAATATTTTTAAACATTGAAAATTATCTATTCTAAAGAATAATATATCAAACCTTATTAGCTAAAAGCACACATGGAACAGGCTGCCCATTAGGTAATTGAACTTTACTATCCAAGTCTTGTTTCCAGTTCCACACATTTTCAAATGTTTCTGGTTGTGTAACATCAAAGATAATCATACATCCTACAGCTTCTTTATAATACACCTGGGAAAATTAAATCTTCTACAGCTTTTTAATTTATATCTTTTATTTAATTTATCTATATTTTATTTGTTTATGTAAATTTATATTGTTTTATTATATTAATTATCAAAATTTACACCTTCGCTAATGTATTTATATTCATGGCAGTGTGGCGGAATAGTGTCACAAAATTTTGATTGTCAAAAATGTAAAACAGGAACAGTGTTGCAAATTGTCACATTATTGATTGTCAAATAATAGAATAAGAAATAATGACACAAAGGAGTTTAATGAATAGTGTTGAAAACAAAAAAAAGGGAATAGTGTCGCAAATGAATTTAACAAAAAGTGTTGAAAACAAAAAACAAGGAAAAACTTCCTAAAGTAGTTTAATGAATAGTAACAAAAATAATTAATAATAACTATAAATGTGTGTTTAGATAACATGTCTGATGTTATACTGAAATAGTCTGCTGCCGGGGGCTTTAGTACATACACCAACTATCATATAGCTTGCTGCTGCAAAAGAATGCTGCTACATCTACTGAGTGTTTGGGGTTTGGTAGCAATCTTTTCTTTCATTATTCTTCATTTTTTTCCTCTTATTCTGTAAAAGTTGCATGCAATAAACAAAACGAGTAAACAATTGCTGAAATTAACTATTTGCGACACTATTCCTTTTTTTTTCTCAACGTTATTCATTAAATTCATTTGCAACACTATTCTTTTTTTGTTTTCATTTTTTTTTTTTTAATTTATTTATTTATTTATTTGTCATATATAAACATTTTACAACCTTCTTATTTACAAGCTTCAAAAAATATATATAAAAAATTAAAAAATGACAGGAGCAAGTAGTCTTATCATCAAGCCCGTAAGTAAACGTGAAGTTTTTTTTTTTTTTTTTCCTTTAACAAGTTCACTTTATAAAAATATATATTTTCTCATATTATAAAACAATATAAAATAACTACAATAGAATAAATAGATTTAAAAAATAAAAAATAAAAGAACTTTAATAAAACCAGATTTTATAGTATAATAAGAATTAATAAAAGAAAATCCCAAAAATAATATAAGAATTTTTTTATTTTTTTTTTATATAATTTTTATTTTTCTGTTAAAAATACAAAAATATGTTTGTGTCTGGCAAGTCAAGCAAATACATTTTAACAACATTTTAAAAAGAATTTATTGAGGTTTTACTTTTCATATTTTCATCAAGAACTGTATTCCATAAAAAAGGTCTTCGATATGAAATTGAACAATCTGTTTTTTCAAGATTAGACTTAGGTAACATAAAATTGTAAACAGAGCAGCTCGTTAAGTATTTATGGTTAAACTTTGAAAAGTGATTATTAAAAAATTTTGGTAGCATATCATTTTGATATTTAAACATAAATAATAAATTTTGGAAGAGGTTTAACTAATAGGCATTAAGTGTTTTTATTTCTTGGAATAACAGCTTAGCGTGGGTGTATTTATGCACATTACATAGTTCTACATGCTTGTTTTTGTTTGATATATATATTTTTTAATGCTGAAGCGCGAGTACTTGCCCAAGCAATATTACATTAGCTAATGCAACTGTAGATGAATGAGTAATATATATCTTTTAAACATTTTTTACTTAGTAGATGTTTTATTGTATGCATAATAACTATTGTTTTAGAAATTTGTTTTTATATTAGGGTGCGAATAAAAAAGATTAGTATCATTGGCGAAAAGAATAAAATTAAGCATATCTGAGGATAGGTACATATCACTCACATAGAGTAGAAACAATATGGGTCCAAGAATTAAGGCTTGGGGAACTCCACAATTTATTGGTTCCAGCTTTGTACAAGTTGAGTCATAACATACTCCTTGTCTCCTATTTTTAAGATAACATCGTAGCTACTTTAGTTTGCTGTTTTTCACTTCGAATGTTTCTAGTTTGAGAAGAAGAATTTTATGATCAACAGTGTCAAAAGCTTTTGACAAGTCAATAAACAAACTGAGAGTATAATTTTGTTACCAAACCCATCTACAATTTGTCTGGCTAAATCAGTTATTGCATGATGATCCAAATGCTCTTTTCTAAAACCAAACTATTTATTAAATAAGATATTATATTTTTCAAGAAAACTATATAGTCTGTTATACATAATGCGCTCGAGCAGCTTTGAAAAACAGGAGTGAATGGATATTGGTCTGTAGTTAGATGGTATAGAATCATCAGCATTTTTGTATACAGGAACTACTCTTGCTATTTTTAATTGACCAGGAAAAACAGTTGCTAATAACAATTTAAAGATTAAATACAGAGGAAATTCAATAACATTAAAAACAGCTTTTAGAACATTAACATTAATATCGTCAAATCCTGCACTCTTATTAGTTTTAAGTGTATTAAAAAAAATTCGAAGTTCATTTACTGATAATTCCAACTCATCCATTATAGACGGGTTGCTTTGTTTACATTTTAAAGCGCACTCGCAAAAAACGACAGGCAAAACATGTTAAAATTTTGATTAAGATCCTGCGTAATTTCAAAACAGTGCAGTTATTTTCTCAAAATATAAGTTTTCATTTCTTTCCCTTTGTCATCAAATCATATATATATATATATACATTTATGTGATATATATATATTTATATATACATTTATGCGATATATTTATTTATACATATATATAATTTAAAAAATCATTTTTATTGTAGCAATGCTTTTGTTTGTGGAAATAACACCTAAGCATACAAACATCGAGCACTCAATGTTTCATGTTTCTGTAGAATTCACTAACAATATATATATATATATATATATATATATATATATATATATATATATATATATATATATACATATATATATATATATATATATATATATATATATATATATATATATATATATATATATATATATATATATATATATATATATATATATATATATATATATATGTATATAAATATTTGAATATATACATCTTTTTTTAATAATTAAATGTAATTGCAATTACATTTAAATACAAGTCCATGTTTGTCGTGAGTCCCTAAATTTGCATATCAAACTTTTTAGCTATTTATAAGTCTGTTTCAAACGGAAGTTAAAAAATAATTTAAATGTAATTAAACTAAAATTTATATATACTTTTTTTATCTACAATATCTTAAAAAATTTAAATATTAACGTTTATAAAATGTTTTATTACAAAAGGTTTGTCAACAAATCATAAAATATGTTTTCCAATTTAAAAAGAAGTTAAACTTTATTTAGTAGTGTTACACAAAAGCTCATTATATTGTCTTTATGCTGCAAAATGCAGGTAGAGAAAAACCATTTTTTATTTGAAGATTGTGATAGTGAAGACATTGCATTCAAAAGTTTATATTTTGCAATACTTTCAATTTTAAGATTATAATCTTTTGGAATATAGCAAACAATTTTAAAATATTACATTATTTGACTTATAAAGACTTGTGAGGGGTTACTAATATTTATATTGTACCCCATTTTATAAACAGATTCAGTATTTTATAAACAGATGAAGTCCAGGCCTGCGAATTTTCCAAGAAGTGTTTTTCCTTTAAGTTTTAGACAAATTTTCTATTGTATTAAGTTAACTTTGATGAGAATTCATTAACAACTTGAATGAAACTTTTGATTTTTCTGTAATTTTATCTTGGCTTTCGTTAATAAGCAATGGCTCATAATGAACAGTAATTGGTTCAGCCTGATCTTTAGAAGTAAAGTAAAACTCATTTTCATATGCAGCGTCTGTTTCATTACAGTTCTCTATTTTATCAATTTACCAACTAATAATTTTAAAAACAACAGCTTTTGATCCTAATTTATGTTATTAATTGATTAATTTATGTTATTAATGTTATTAATTGGTTGGTTATGTTATTAATGTTATTAATTGGTTGGTTATGTTATTAATGTTATTATTTGGTATTAGTTTATAATATTAATTGGTTAAGCCTGATCTTTAGAAGTAAAGTAAAACTCATTTTCAAATGCAGTGTCTGTTTCATTAAAATGTTTTCTGTTTCATCGATTTACCAACTAATGATTTTAAAAATAACAACTTTTGATGCTAATTTATGTAAATTTTGATACGAATTCTCAGTTTTTATATAACTTTGCTGGATTGATGAAGTATAGATTAATAGAAGTATATCCTGTTAATTTTAAATTTATTTTACTTTTAAAAATTGGCAAAGTATTTTTTGATACTGGTTAACAAATTTTGACATATTTTATCGCGCTGGTTCCACTTTGTGAGACTTTTTATTCACATAGTTTACTTGTACAAACTTCACACCATAACTTTTACTTAGCTTTAGATCAAATGTTTTGCCTGTCGTTTTTTGCGCACGCGCTTTAGAATGTAAACAAAGCAACCCGTCTATAGAGTGTGTTTTTTTTTAAATAGGATTGGAATTTTTTTTCCCAGAGTTATATCTACTGCTAAGTTTGTCCCTATATTTATAAAGAATTTATTTAAATTTTCAGCAATTTCTTTCTTATCACATATATATTCATTTATATTAGTTTTCAACCTCTTTGGAATTGTGGCGTTTTTTATTAATTGTTTTTTTCCTATTACTTCTTTAATAACTTCTTTAATAATAATTTGCAACACTATTTCTTTTTTTTTTCCGACATTATATCTTTTGATTATATACTAGACACTATTCTGAAGTTCATTTTACAACACTATTCCTATCACCCTAAAAATTCAATGTCTAATAAAACATTCTACGCAAACCTTTTCTTTTTCTTTTAAAAAACATTTAATATTGACCAAAATCTGAATATTAGACGGGAAAAAAAGGAGCATTCTTAAAAGTAGTGAAGCAAAAGAAGGACCATTTTTAAAAGTGAAGCAAAAAATTAAAAAGAAATAATCAGATAGGAAGCATATCTTAATAAACAACACTAAAAAAGTAATTACTGGACATGTTTTACTGATTTAAATTACTGGATTTTAATACATCATTTAAACATTAAAGTTTATTTAATAGATTTATCATTAGACGCATATAAGTTGAACGGCTAAATAAATGAATAAATAAATAAACAGTTTAAATTTCATTTTTTATTCCAATTATTTAAACCAGTAAGATTCTATTGTAGCAGAAAGGAAAAACAGTTTTCATAACAGTTTTTGAAAACAGTTTTTGCAACAGAAGAAAAAAAAAGTATATATACCCTGTTCATTTTACCAAATCTTTCTTCACCTAAAAAGAAATTGAAAAAAAAATTCTTAGATTAAAATGATTTAAAAAAAAAAAAAAAAAAAAAAAACTTAGTGTTAAAATAAAGTGTTAATTACAGAAAATTTGTTTTTTTTAAGAGTAAAACCTTAATCAAACCTTAAAATTAATATATACTAAAATTAATAAATAAAATAACTTTTCAAAATAATATCTTAATAAATATTTATAACTGTTATAAATTGTTCTATGCTGTTTAGGTTTACACATTTAAATCACACTAACACAATATCATACTTTTTAAAAGTATCACCATTTTTCCAAGTTTCTTTTCATCTGCTTTTACTTTACAGATAAAAAAATATCAATATGTTAATAAGTTTTGTTAAGTTAGTTTTGTATTTATTGTTAGATAAATGAGCTTAAATATAATTTTTTGGTAATAATTTTTCATTCATGTGTATTTAGGTTGGCACAGTACTAATACATTAATTTGCTGACTTTAATTTAGTATTTAGTACACAACAAATATTTAGTAAACAACTACATATTTAACAACATACCAGATATATCCCACAGCTGAAGCCGAATCAAGGTTGTTTCATCCCAGTTTAAAACTTTTAATGCAAAATCTACCCCAATCTTCAATTTGAAAAGTCAAGAAAAATCACGTTAAAATAAAAAATTTTAAATTTATAAAATTGAAAAAGAAAAAATTTCAAAACAATTTTAAAATGGAAAAACCTTTAAAAAATACAAATTTTCGGAAAAACCATGTTGAAATTTTTAATTATATATATAACATAAATATGTATATATATATATATATATATATATATATATATATATATATATATATATATATATATATATATATATATATATATATATATATTATTATTGAGTTGTGTTGTATTCTGTTGGATTTAATACAGCTCTTTGTCGGTTTAAGAGTGATCAATTTTGTATTTTTATAACGGTTTTTATTTTAATGATTTTAAATATATGGCTGAATGATTGCCAAATGGCATGAAACTTGAAGTCCCATAAAAAAGTCGTATTTTTTTCATTTAAATATTTAATATATATATATATATATATATATATATATATATATATATATATATATATATATATATATATATATATATATATATATATATATATATATATATATATATATATATATATATATATATATATATACATATATATATAAATATATATATATACATATATATATAAATCATACATATATACATATATATATAAATATACATATATATATATATATATATATATATACATATATATATATATATATATATATATATATATATATATATATATATATATATATATACATATATATGTATATATACATATATATATATATATACATATATATATATATATACACACACACATATATATATATATATATATATATATATATATATATATATATATATATGTATATATATATATATATATATATATATATATATACGACCCTTGATTACACACTGGCTCGCATATATCAGTGAATTTTTTTTCCTTTAAAAGTATATCAACCTGGGTCTCAAAAGAACCAGAATTTCATAGAGATTTTAGAAATAATAATGGTTTTAATGGTTTTAAAAATTATTTGCTCAAAGTTATATACTAAAAATAACAATTTTAAAATAAAATTTTTTATTTTTTAAACATCTTCGCTTCCAACAAGGCTGCAAGTAACCACTAATTAGAGTTGAAAGTTACTGGAAGAGAAAAGATGACGATTGTAGAGCAAGATAACGATTAACAAGCACTTAAAAGATTGCAAATTATCAGAAAAGCAAGATGAACTATGTTTACAATGTGTTTTTGCACCTTGTCTAAAAGAGAAAGGGCATCATTAGAAGATCTGCCCCAGATATGGCAACAGTATTCCATACAAGGCTGGATTTGAGATTTATAGAGATAGAGAATAGAATCCAGAGTAAGAAAGTGACGAGCTTGATAAAGAGATGCAACTTTAGCAGATGCTAATTTTGCAAAAAAGTTCGGAAGTAAGAGTTAATCCTAGAAGATGAAGGGTAGATGATTCATCGAGTACATTACCATTCATAAATATAGGAAGATCTAAATTATTGCAATAACGATTAGCTGAAAAAAATTGAGTTTTATATGAGATCCTTTTCAAGCTCAAATGGCAACTTTTATACTGCGATTGGAAAGGAAGGATTCAATAATCTTAAAGATGTTTCCAGATACCCCGTAAGAAGAAAGCTTATGGAGAAGACCTGCATGCCAAACTTTATCAAACGCTTTAGAAATGTCAAGAGGGATGGCCTTAGCCTCACCACTTTTATCTAATGCACGATAAAACCTATTGATTATTACTGTTAGTTCTGTTAGTTCTGATTATTACTGTTAGTACTGTTAGATAAAACCTATCGATTATTACTGTTGTGCCGTAGAACAAGAAGATCAAAATCCATATTGATGATCAGAAAGTTATTAGATTCAAGATGAGAGATTTGGTGTTTGATAATTAAAAATTCAATATCAGATTGCTCTCCAGAATTTTTAATTCTCCAAAATTTAAATTGAAGGTCGTTTTTTATGACATTTTGTTTACAATTTTTTTTTTAATTTGTTTTAGTAGAAAAAATTATGAATTTTGAAATCATTTTAAAAATCTCTCTCTCTCTCTCTCTCTCTCTCTATATATATATATATATATATATATATATATATATATATATATATATATATATATATATATATATATATATATATATATATATATATATATATATACCTACATATATATATATATATATATATATATATATATATATATATATATATATATATATTTATATATATTTATATATATTTATATATATATATATATATATATATATATATATATATATATATATATATATATATATATATATATATATATATATATATATATATATATATATATATATATATATATATATATATATATATATATATATATATATATATATATATATAGTTCAAGGAATTCCAGGATATATTGCTAAAAGTAGTCTTTTTCCAGGACTTTTCAAGAACCTATCAAAATCAAGGACATTTCCAAGTTTTCAAGGACCCCTGGGCAACCAACCATTGTTCATTTTTACTGAAATTATTAACAATAACAGGCTGTCAAGCAGCAACTTTCGAAAAAAATGACAAAAAATGATGGTATTTTGAGAATAAAAATGACAAAAAATGACTGATTTCATTATAAAAATGAAAAGTTCAATAATTTTATTTTGAAAATAACAAACAAAATCATCCGCCATCACTAATTTCTTTTAAAAATGAAAATCTCAACATCTTTTTGTTGTTTAACACGCAATAAAACGTTTTTCTAAAGTCTAAAATAATTAACATAAATAAATAAATTTTGCTAACTAATTATAACTGAACCAACAGTTCCAGCTCTATTATATTTACAAAAACTTTGAAACTTTTAACGACTACTTTAATTTTTTGCAACGCTTAATTATTCTATCCATTTCACTTTAACGTTTTAAACCAATATTTTCTCTCAACTTTTTCTGTTCATTTCTATGAGAGCATTTTCAAGACTTCTTTTTGCGCTGTTTATCATTTCATGGGCAATTTTTATACCCATCATGTCTTCCTTAATAATGGCACTTTGCATAGATTTTGCTGCTTCATTGAGCATTCTCTGAGCAAGCTGAAACTCAAAAACTGCATTTTTTTCATCATTCTTTAGACTTTTTTCCTGTTGATCTAAATTTTTATTTTTATTTTCAACTTTTTCAAGCATTTCTTTCTGTTCTTTTTCTTTATTCATTAGTTCTTGCTCATGAATATAATTTTTTCTTTTTTCTTTGTCTTTTTCAGCTTTTCTTTTTTTATATATTTTATGAGCATTTTGAACAGCTTGAACAACGTCTTTGGAGAGTGCATCAACATTATATGCTCCTTTGCAATTTCTTGCATATTCTTTTGATATTCTCAAAGCCATTAATGTTTCATCATTTAGATTTACTCTCCTAGGAGTCAATGTATTTTTGTTATCAGATAAACTTCGCTCAGCACTGGCATTTCCATTCTGAATTGTTAAACAGTTCTTAACAACTTTACTGAGATGCCCATACTTTGTTTTTCCATATTCATTGTTACTTTTAAAAACTTTAGCTCAATAATGGTCTACTCTTTTTAGTTTTTTTGTATCAGAATCTAGATATCATTCTTTTGATATATTAGCTGTTTGGTATAATTTCCATTTATCTTTTACAAACGATACCTGTACAAAAATTAAGATAAAATTTTTATAGAGAAAGTGTTAACATTTAAAATTAAAGGAAAATTTAATTATATTAAAATTAAAATAGTTCATTAACTAATAATTTACAAACAACAATTTCTGATTTGTAAATTAAACTAAAAATTAGTAAATTTTGAAAATGTTAAATAATATATTTATATGGTTAACGTACTCTGCTATTTTAATTATATAGTAGATTATGTTAACAATATATATACTTATATTATTTAAAATTTTCAAATTTACTTATCATTAGTTTAATTTACAAATCAGAAATTATGATATATATATATATATATATATATATATATATATATATATATATATATATATATATATATATATATATATATATATATATATATATATATTATATTACAGTTATTTAATATAAATTTATTTAAATATTCACCTCCCTTTCCGTAATTACATGTGGCATTGTAACTGCTATTCTCCCAATTGCATTAACAGTCCAAGGTTCTGATCTGATTTGAGCACCCAAACAAGTCATATCTTTTAATATCTGCGAATCAAGTGGAAGTTTTTTTTGCAAGTGTTTTACAACAGATATATATCCATCTCTCATTTGCTGTAAGCAGACATATCTTTTTTTTCACATGATATTTTGTTCACCTAAAACATATTTATATTGAAAATCTAGATCAATGAAAATGAATAGAAAAACTTAATTTTCAATAATATAATATCTAATGATTAATACAATAAACAAAATAGTTTATATTGCCTAGTACATTTACTTATACATATTTACCAAGTACACATTTACCAGGTAGCAAATGTGCAACTGGTAAATGTAGCAAATGTGTACCTATCAAAAATTACCTGGTTTTTAGCTTCCTCGCCAAAGTCCATTTTATTCAAATCAAGGTGGATAGTTAAATCGGAAGAATCAATTTTTAAAAGATCTTTGGTAAGCTTTCCATTAACAGCAGTCGGCTGAAGAAAACGTTTCATTAAAGATATTAAAAGATTTTTCATTTTATAAAATAAAATATGAAAAAGTGGTCCTTCGTCTTGAAATTTTGTCAAGTATTTCTCAAACAAGGGAGCTAAACCTTGTTTGAGAAATACTTTGATGGACACAAGTAACTCCTAAAATAATTAATTCTCTATTATATGTAATAATTCAAAAAAATAATAATAAGAATAACTTTAATTACATTTTCAGTTTCCTTAAGACTTCTTTGATTCTGAATATAACGCTTGTTGTTTGTCAGTGTCTTTTATACTCCTTTTGTTTTGGAACATATTCCAAAAAATATTTCTTGGTGTCTTCCCACTTTAATAGAACCTTTTTAAGTGAAGAAGAAAGAGTAAGCCATCTAGTATTGATAAAACGAAGAAACAATGTTTCATCGTCAATAAAAATGCAATCTGATAATTTTTTAAAATCTTATATTTTACAGGGTGCATTCTAAAACAGAAAAAAAAATTATATAGAGACACTACACTTTATTAGCTAGTCGTATAATAGACTATTAGAAAAAAAATAATAATAATGTAAGAAAAATAACTTCATAGGTAAAATAAAAAATTCTCTTTTAGTATTAACTGCAGTAAAATCCCGTTAAGTTAGACTCTCACAGGTTAGATAAATAGTCAGACTTAGCGAATATCCAAATAAGCTAAGCTTTTTGTATGTATAGAAAGCTCAAGGGGAATTGAAAATCTGTCCGACTTAGTACAAATCCAACTTATCCATGGTCCGAATTAATGGGATTCTACTGTTTAAAATTACTCAAATCATTACCGTAAACCAGGTATGTAAATCAAATGCAAGCTGCTCAGCATCCTCACCGACAACATCAATTGCTTTTCGAAAAGCATTATGCACTGTGTGCAAAGTGCAACTTACAAATGGTAACAAGCCATTAAAACCATTACTATGAAGATCAGCATTTAACAATCTCCAAATGGCTTTGTTAATATTAGGACCATCTGCTGAAATATTAAAAAGACGATCCCGTGGTAAATAAAACCTTTCATTATGATGTAAATCTGCTAGCATTGTTTTGACATCTTCTGCTGTTGCTCTGCCAAAGAACAGCGATGTTAAATATTTTGTAACAACTTGGTTTTCAACTTCTGACCTAAAAAGACATAAAAGATCCATTTGTTTTCTTTGTTGTGAAGTAGTTGTTTCATTAAACATTAAAGTGAATGCACCTTAACTTAACGTGATACTATTACATAAACGCTTTTCCAACAATGGCCCAAGGCCATCTTGCAAAATATATGAAGCTTTTTGTCGACTCATAGTAAAACCTTGACTTATTTTACTATCTGGAAACATTCTTTGGAACAATATAATATCATTCTCTGCCACTTTAAAAAGCCACATGGCTTTTGCAGCAGAAATTTTTTCATTTATAGAGAACTCTAATTGTATAACTTTTTCTTCCCAATAGAGTTTTTGTTAGAATCTACATATAAATGAGAAGCAGTTTTTAAAAATCTTAGATCAGACACTGACTTATGTTTAGGTTTTGAAGAATGCTGATATAGTGCTTGGAAACCAACTGAACTGAATTTTAAATCACTTTTGCATAGTTTACAGATAGCATATTCAGAGTTTCTTTTTTCAGCCCATAATTGAATTTTCACTAGATTTTTGTTTAACTTTTCCAACCACACATCATTCCACTTAACCATTATACTATATAATCTATTGATAAATATACTAAAAACTAAATATAAAAATCACTAACTTTACTAATTCTATACTATAGAATGATTTTTTTTTTTTAAATAATAACACCAATTTAGCAATACAAATGGATAATTAAAATTAAAATGTGAATATAAAAGATTGTAACTGTTATTATAAAATAGTTTTGAAAATTAAATAAAAACTAACATAATGTCCAAAACAACTTAAAAATATCAAAAACAGCAATTCTAAGTATTTTTTTATAAAAAAAAACTTTAGAGTGTAAAAAATTCAAGAAAAAAATGAAAAAATGACAGAAACTAACAAAAAAATTAAAAAAAATTAAGAAAAAAAAAAGAACCCAAAAAAAATTAAAAAAATTAAAAAAATGAGGACTTGACAGCCTGCAATGGTTTGTTGCCCTCCTCTAGCAGGTCTCAAGAATGGTCCAAGGGGCGACGATTTCTGGCCGTTAAATTGAGCCCTGAATCATTATTAGAAAGATTATAGTTACTAACACTTCTACTCTTGGATGGAGCATTTAACTGAAAAAATACTTTATCAAATGGAACCCAACACTGACTTGATCGTGCATCATTAGTCCATTTCAAGTTTAATTTGTTTTTATGCATGAACTTTATAATTTCTTTATACCAGTTAAAAAATAGTGATGGCTTCTTGTGCCCAGGACTGTGTACAACTCATCATATTATTTTTGGAGATTGAAATAAGTTTCATAGTTATTGATATTATCACTTTGAAAATAAAAATGTTAACACCTTTAATATATTTTTCAACCCATCTAAAAAGTTTGGGTGGTGTGAGATTTGATTTGTAATTGTTGCTTATTGACCATCTTTTGCTGCTTCTCATTTTATAGTTCCTCAGTTTTATAGTTTTATATATTTATCTCATTCCTATTTCATACAGTGGACTTTACACACAAACATATTCAAGTGAGACAATTGTAATTATTATCATTCATAGTTATTTAATTATGATAAATACCAAAATTGCAGTTCTGCTCCCAGAGGACAGTTTTTATAAAGAACACAGTTTTACAGCATGCTTATTAGGTTATGTTGGTATCAAAAATGATTTTTACTTGATGAAACAATTCTAATAACACATGCAATTAATACTAAAATCAAATATTGCTTAATCCGCAAAAAAAGATCTGGAAAAATATGATGTAAATATAATATTTTAATCAAAATCAACAAAACTATGCACAATAGGGTGGTCCTTAAAATAACATTTTTTTTTATGTGTGCTCTCACCATAAAAAAAGTTATGTTACAGTTACAGTTGAAGAGGCTGCTTATTATTAATATTTTTTTGTAAATCTTGACCACCATGTTTTATGTCCTCCCACTCTGAATTTTTGTTGTTCCCTATGAAGATACCTACCAATTATTTGTAAAAAAATAATTTTGAATTTACATTTATTAATGAGTGTCAACAAAATTGCAATTGGACCCCTAAAAGGGAAGCAAGGGTATATGCTGGAAAAAACATTTTTTGATAACTTTTTTTATTTTGTAATCTGATTGAATATATTGACGAGAGTCAGCTATAAAACACTCAACTACTAGTGTAAATGCAACTGGTTAACTGGTTTTTTGGTCAGATTTCTTGAAATGGAAAATCGTTTGTTTTTTTTTTTAAAAAAAAACCCTGCAAAACTGGTTATTAGTTATACATTCATAAATAGATAAATAGTTCAAAGATTTCTTGTTATCTAACAACTAATGTGGAAAACACAAATATTGTGAAAAAAGTTTTAAGAAGTACTTTGATATGGCATTTAGTTTTATTATTATTTTTTTTTTTTACCAATTATTAATAAATTACATACTGACAAAATTTTATTTAAATTAAAAATCAATATTTATAACACTAAACAATATTAAAATTCATAATAAAGGTTGGGTTAAGTAAAACTGACACTTTTTATATCTTGAATTAAAAAATATTGGAATGAGCTACAAAGTTGACTTCTTTTTTAATTGAACGCTTATTAAGTCTAGAACAAAAAAAAATAAAGAAAATAATTAAATTTCTTAAGTACAATAAAATTTCTACTTTTTCTCTTGATGGGAATCATAAGATTTTGCATTAGGTGAGATCCATACTCTGTTGTGGTTTTATCCCACTTCTTCTTAAAGTCAGTACTTGCTAATTGATTTTGCTTGCCTAAACTTCTTATGTAATTTGGCTTTAATAATTGCCCAATATTGCTCAATTGTACGAAGTTCAGGACAATTTGCACAATTGTGTGTTCTAGGTATGAAATCAATACTATTGGCATTGTAGAAGTTTAACGTGGATTTGGAGTAATGACAAGACACTAGGTCAGGCCAAAAGATTGCATTACCATCGTGGGCGTTCCAGAGTGGCAAAAAGTGATTTTTAAGGCACTCTTTTTTGATAGATTTCACTATTTATTGTGGAATTAGTGACAAAGCTTTGTGTTTTTAATCCACATTGACATATGGCTTGCTAAACATAATTTTTTGGGGGATGTTTTAGTTTTATTATTTTAAATTTAGCCTTTACCTTTTTTCTCCCATATAAAAATGATGTCCTGGAATTGTTTTGAAACTTAATTTCACATAAGTTTCATTATCCATAATTATACTTTTTTTTTTTCTACACAATAATTTGTATAATTTTCCTGCACGATTTTTTGCCACTAAATTTTCTTCAGCATTGCGATCTGGGGCTTTATACATCTTGAAGGACTTGATTTTATATTTTTTCTTGATAGCCCGAACCATTTGTCTACTAGTTTTACATTTTAGTGCCAAATTTTGCTCAGAAATGTTAGGATTTGCTCTTATTTTAAACGCCAAAACATTCGTCTTTAGTTTTTTGTTAATATTCAAGTTGTTGCCACTTCCAGACTTTCTATTTATTGTATTAAGTGTCAAATACTTATTTAAAGTTCTAATCACAGTGCTTTTAGAACATCCAACAGTTTTTACAATCGATTTGAGAGGCAAATTAAGATTTTCCATTCGAGTGTGCAAAATTGCATCACACACTTGTTGCTGTTTTGTTTCAGTTAAAAACATTTCAACTGAAATATTAATACATAGATAATTATTTTTCTGTATGATAACATTCTGTATGATTTTTTAGCGTACTAATTATAAGAAACAAAAAGTGTCAATTTTACTTAACCCAACCTTTATTAAATACTTATAATAACCAAAACAATCTAGAAAAGACAAGTACCACTAACTTGAAATATTTTGTTAACTTTTTTTGTGGATATTTTCGTTTGTTGTTTAATTTTTTGTTATTGCTGTTTAATAAATTTGATTTGAGAATTAATTTGTTAAATAACAATCTCAAATTAAAATAATTAAACAACAAAAACAAATTTGTTTACAAATTTGTTTAAAATTTGTTTTTGCAATTTTGAATTTGGTATTACTTTAAATATTATAAATCCTAGTATATTTTTACATTATACTTTTGTAAACAGATGAAATGCATAGTTTTCAGTTGATAGTATTCATTTATCAATAGTATGAAAAAAAAATAGTTTATCGATTTGCTACAAAAAAAAGAGGGTTAAAAGAAAAGATGATCCAAGTTCATTAGATTTGAACTAAACTATTAATGAATAGAAAAAGATATTTTTACTGTAGATTGATAAAAATTAATGTTTAATTAATAAAAATAATTTTTTTTTTTTTTAAGTTAAAGTATTAAAAGTTTTCTTTAGTTCACAGATCTAATTCAAGTATATCAGTTCTGTAGGCTACATTGAATTTATACAGCTATAATAAAAATTTGCTTTTATAATAAAAAAACACAAGTGTAAAACAGGTTACGTGGTAATAAATTTAAAAAAACCAAAAACCAGTTTTTTAAATTGTAGGTTTTTATAATCTTTACCAGTTATTCTTTAATTGTAATACCGGTTTTACACTGGTTTTTAAAGTGTAATACTTTGTATTACAATTTAAAAAAACCGGTTTTCGGTTTCTTTAAATTGTAATACTAGGTAACCGGTTTTACACTGGTAACCTGATAAATTTTCGAATTTTTGCCAAGCCTTAATATAAAATTAAACTTTTTTATTTTTTGTTTTGGTTTAAAAGTTTAAGCTTTTTAAATTTTTATTAATTAGAATATTTTTAGAATCTATGGATGACAAGATGGATTATTTTTAACGATAGTTTGTTTCCAAACATAATCTGACAAAATGCTAAAATATATTACTTTACCTTATATTACTATCAGTATTCTATTAACTATATATACACTTATTTTTATTTTCAACAGATTGTTTCTCCATCACTTGGTTCATCAGGAAGAATGTTTAAACCAAAAAATTCAAATAATAGAAAAAATATTTCACAGGAATTGTTATAATAATGTAATATTATTATTAGTTATTTTGCAGATGTAGATTACTTTTTAATTTAAATGGAGTTGCATTAAATACATTAAAATTAAAAAATTAACCATAAAAAGAATCCTTTAAAATGAGGTTATTTGTTTTTATAATATTTTTTTAAGGTATCTTATTTTCATATTTGCATTTAGAAATTATTTAAGATTTTTTGTTTAATGAATAGAATAAACTAGTTTAATTTCCATGGTTAAGTTAATATATTGATTTAACCCTGCTAAATAATATATTCGCTTAAGCAAGAGCGAATGGAAAAAATGTTATGCCTAACACAAACAATCTTTGAACATAAAAAATACTCAAAAAAAACTGTAAAAATATATTTGGCAACTAAAAAAAAAAATTGTAATTTTAAATTTAAAAAAAATTAAAAACATTAGATGTGTTTTTACCAATTTATTATTCCTCTCTTCTATAAAAACATTGAGCACTCTATTTGTAGATATAATAACATAATTTATATATATATATATATATATATATATATATATATATATATATATATATATATATATATATATATATATATATATATATATATATATATATATATATATATATATATATTTACAAATATATATATATTTACAAATATATATATATTTACAAATATATATATATGTATATATATATATATATATATATATATATACATATATATATATACATGTATATATATTTATATACATATATATATATATATATATATATATATATATATATATATTCATACATATATATATATATACATATATATATACATATATATATACATATATATATATATATATATATATATATATATATATATATATATATATATATATATATATATATATATATATATATATATATATTGAACTAGCTCTATTTAGGCATGGCCCACTTAATACAGTAGTATATAGTATAAACTAGGTCATGAATCTAATATATATATATATATATATATATATATATATATATATATATATATATATATATATATATATATATATATATATATATATATATATATATATGTATATATATATATATATATATACATATATATATATATATATATATATATATATATGTATATATATACATATATATATATATATACATATATATATATATATATATACATATATATATATATATATATATATATATATATATATATATATATATATATATATATATATATATATATATATATATATATATATATGTATATATATATATATGTATATATATATATATATATATATATATATATATACATATATATATATATATATATATATATAATATATATATATATATATATATATATATATATATATATATATATATATATATATATATATATATATATATATATATATATATTCATTAGATTCATGACCTAGTTTATACTATATACTACTGTATTAAGTGGGCCATGCCTAAATAGAGCTAGTTCAAAATTATGAGAATCATGGCCTAAAAAATATTTTAAGCAAAAAAATTATAAATATTACTAAAAAATTTAGATTTATGTCTGTGTTTGCACCAGAAAATGTTTTGCAAAAGACTCAATAAAAACTTAATTAAGGTTATATTATTTACATATGTAATATATATACATATATATTACATATGTAAATAATATAACCTTATATTATTACATATGTAATATATATGTATATATATTACATATTATTATTATATTAACCAAATAACAAAAAAAAAAGTCCAATTTTTTTTTTTCAAACACACACTTAACACACCTCTTGATAGATGTGAATTTAATTTTTTCTTTACAAATAATTGGTAGGTATCTTCATAGGGAATAAAAAACAATCACTATGGGAGGATATAAAATCTGACAGTCAATTTAGCACACTATGAGATTCTAAAGTTCAGTAACATCTATTCAATTTTTTTTTATTCAAAAATAAATGCAAAAGTTTTTATGTTTTTAATTTTCTTTTTAAATAAATAAACATTTGATTTTAACATAAATTACATTTATGTTAAAATCAAAGGTTATTAAAAAAAAAGGTTGAAAGGTCTGAAACTGTTTAATTTTTTTAAACATTCTTGTTTTTTAAAACTTAAAATCAAACTCATTTTATGGATTTTTATCAAATATTGAATTAATTTTTTTAATATATGAAAAGATACAGTAGCTCTGTAATTAGGAGAAAAAAAATTATGCACATAGCTTTTGATGATACTTGTTTTACCACATCCTATGTCTCCAATAACCAAAATTTTAAATAAGTGCTCTCTTTTTTCCATTTCTTAGATGAGAATTAAAAGTGAATTTTTGATGTAATTATTAACAATTTCTAATATTTAAAAATAATCAAAATAAGTAAGCAAAATAAGTAAAACATTTTGTATATATATATATATATATATATATATATATATATATATATATATATATATATATATATATATATATATATATATATATATATATATATATATATATATATATATATATAATATATATATATATATATATAATATATATATATATATATATATATATATATATATATATATATACATATATATATATATATATATATATATATATATATATATATATATATATATATATATATATATATAATATTCCCAGACAAATTATATGAAGCAAGTTTATACAAAAGACCAGCCAGACTTTATCACACCTTTTGGTGCAATAAGAGCAACAGTCCTTACCTGGCCAGATCTATCTAATGCATGATAAAACTGTGATGATAGGGTGGGTCTGAAGAAAAAACGCTAGATTTAAAAAGATCATAACATAGCTGAACCACAAAAAAGACAACAAGAAAAAATTTAACACAAAAAGGGTCAGAGACATAACACATATCAAGGAATGATTAGAGTAGTCTGGAGTAAGATATTAAGAAATACTAACATTGCCAGCTTTAGTGCTAGAGCAGGGTAACAACAATAATAGCTTAACAACAAGAATAAAAGCTGGAGGATCAAAAGACCTTTATTAATTTTATTAGAAATTGCATCAAAAAAAATGCAGTTTTGAAAAGAAAAAAATCAATAAAAAGAGTAAAGAGAAAAGTAATTGAGCAAAGTGTTGCTCAATGGCACATAAACGAATGATCAGTCATTTTAAACCTGATTTCATGACAAATAGGTGAACTGATGCATAAGTATATACCCAACCCTATCATTTAACTATAGGTTTCTTTAAAGATCAAAGGATAATAACCATCAACACTGAGATCAAAATATGAAACGAACTCAAATTAGTCTTGCAAAGAGCAAGTAAGTTTGTGAATGTTGCAGGTAACTGACGAAAAGTTGTTTCGAAGACCACGTATTTTTATAAAAGATATATTAAAACAAACTGTTGTGGTTTTTTATGTTTATTATTTGAACTTTACTCATTTAAAGATAATGCATGGCAGCCCAAGCAATAAGCTAATTAGTTGCTTCGGTCCCAGTAGTAACCTGAAGTTATAACAAAAAATCCTTGAATTAGCCATTTTATAAAGTTCAGAGATTTGCTTATAAAGATATGCTTTTTCTCTACAGCACAAGTTATTAAATTTCTTTTTTTTATGGTGATTCCTTTGACATTCCAGTAATTATTCAATTTACATGTAAATATGTAAATGTATAAATGTCAGCTTGGAATTTAGGGTTGGCATTTGGCAATTCAGACCTAATCACTGAGCTAAAAGAGTTTAAGGTCAGCAAAAAATTGCTGTCCTTGTTTCTATGTTTCACGGCATAACCTTCATGTTAAAACTTTTTTCCCAACCCCCAACAATTCAAGGTCTGCAATTTATTCCCAACCTCATTTTTCTTGATTCTGAGGGCTGATATATATATATATATATATATATATATATATATATATATATATATATATATATATATATATATATATATATATATATATATATATATATATGTATATATATATATATATATATATATATATATATATATATATATATATATACATATATATATATATATATATATATATTTATATATATATATATATATATATATATACATATATATATATATATATATATATATATTATACATATATATACATATATATATTAATATATATATATATATATATATATATATATATATATATATATATATATACATATATATACATATATTTTATATTATATTATATTAGTTTATTAACCCCTTCTAATTATTTTTATTTGTTAACAATAAAAAAAAGTAAAGAAAAAGTTTAGAAAAAAAAAAAATCAGAAAATATATATAACATTTTTAGCATATATGTTGAAAATATTATATATAACAATTTTATTTAACAACAATATAATTGGTCAGATATTAAATCTGGCTGGCATTGCATTTCTACCAATATCTGCTTCAACTTATTTTTACGTTATCATAAAAACACTTGGTTACAAAAAAGCAAAAAAATAGTTTTATATAAAAGATATACAAATAGTATCTTAAGAAATAATAATAATGCACTTTAAATCTTTTTGATAAAATGATTGTAAATATTAAGGTACTTCAACATTATATAAAAATTTAAACAGGTGTTACTATAATTAATTATAAATAATTAACTCTGATTGACAGGTTCTTCAAAACTACTAGCAATTGGGCAAAATTTTATTTATATATTAAAAATTTAAACATCTAGAAAATCTTTTTCTTCAAACTTAGTTGTCAAAACTTTATTAATAAACCATATTATCTTTCTAAAAGGAAATATATCATCTTTAAAATCTTCTAATATTCATTGTTTCAATTTCAAACTTCAAATATCCTTCAACATGAGTTAAATAAATGTATTGAAAACTAGTATTTTTACTAACAATTGGAGTATAGCACTTGACAACCATCTGATAAGTAACAAACATTATATATATTAACTTCCAAAAAAATGTTAATTTCATTCAAGACTTTATTTATTGAACGTGCATAATCCAATATAAATGGTAGCCTTTTTAAAGAGGAACTCACAGACAGATCTAATTAAGTCAAGATATAGTTAGTTCCTTATCTAAGCTGATTTGAATTATCACTGGTGTTTTGCTGGGTAGTGTGCTGGGACCAACTTTGTTTTTGTTATAAATTAATGACTTATCGTTATTAGTTAACAATATTGAATGTACACCAAAACTTATGCTGATGATTTGAAGTTGTACAGCTCATATTATAATAGCAATCATATTCACAACTAAACTATTGCTCATCATGAATTGTTTGTTGGTCAGAAACTTGGCAAATGCTAATAGCCAACAGTAAATATTTTGTACATAGATTAACACTTAATCCAATGTAGCATAGTATTAATTTTAACCTCAAGTTATTTGATTAGATTTTATAAAAACATATAGTTACTATGGACTGCAATATTATTCTATCTGTTATGATCATTTTAATAACCATATATCATTACTATAACTATAAGTTTTCCAATCTAACCCTGTTGAATTATTTTTTTAATAATTTTTTAGTTTTTTGAAGTTAAATTTTTTATTAATTGTTATTACAGTATGGATTTACATCTACTGACAGTAGATGTAAATAAAAGTGTACTTTGATCGGAGTTTTTTCAACAAATCCATATATACAAAATTCATTACTTAAAACGTCATAACTTTATGTAGAATTGTGACTTTAATAATCTTTTCACCTTCAAAAAAATGTATTAATCCGCTTTTTAATGATATACAACAATCTAGTATTTAAACAATTTGAAACTTTTACTGTTAAGGATTTAATAATGTTAATTTACTTTGCGCATTTAAAATTTTCAAAAAAACTTCTAAACTTAATAACAATCGATAAAATCTAAAAGTACATCACCATAACATCAATCATAAAACTATTGTCTCTAATTAAAAAAGTTTTAAAGAATAATTAGCCCAGCCGCGGTAAATAAATGCAAGAGTAAATAGTAAATAAATAGTAAGAGTAAATAAATGCAAGAGCAGAGTAATTCTTATCCAAAGCGGACAAGGTAAAACAAGCAATTCGCTCGTCTAGACAACTTTTTGCGCGAACTTAATTAACAAATTTGCTTATTTTAACTAAAAATTTGAGCGTCACGTAAAGTAAATGTTTTACCGATTTTGATCTGTAATCAGTCTCTGACTGAGTATAATCACTTTCGGTTTCCATTCGTTAAATTAAAGAATTGCAAATTTAATCTAACCGAAAACTTGTATTTACAATTTAAGTATATAATTTGTATAACTAAATAATAAGTTCGGCAAAGTCTTATTTATTGTGTAATAGTTTTTATATTTTAATGGCTTGTCTCAATTTGAGCAAAATAAAATATTAGACATTTATACAAGATACATAGATATTTTCCTTAAAAAAAAATTCTCCCATATTTGCTTTTTATTAATTTTGATTCACCCCTCTGTTTCACATCGTTATGGTGTCACCCGGTGCAGCCCGCACTCCTGTAGCGTTACAACTATATAACTGTGTTTAAAATTGTACCCATTCACTAATAAAGAGATTTGTGACAAAAATGCGTGAACATCTTTTTAAATGCTTTCCTGTGATTACTTTAAATCAATTATTAAAAATAAAAAACAAATAATCTAAACTCTTTGACTATATTAAAAGAATAAACATCAAGATTTTGGTTTAATTAACTGCTGAATCAGCAACTAATTTCAAGAAAAGTCATACTTTTTCTCCATTTATGAAAGCTTTACCAACTGATTATAAAAATTATTTAATTAAAATTAACTGAATAAATCAACAAACAACTTTCAACAAATAAAAAAAAGTTTGTAAAAAAAGTTTGCTTCGTTTATTTTATACTTAAATGCTTGAAATAACAAAATTTAGAACTGTGCAATTAAGCAAGAAGATTTGTTTTATTAACTTAAGACTTCTAGATCATCATTATTAACTTAAAACTTCTAGGTCATCATTATTAGGCAATTACAGAAGAGTTGAAGCAGTTTCACGAGTTTCCTACATTTTTTTGCAAGCGTTATTAAAAAATATCTAGAAAAATAACAAAAATTAACATAAAAAATATGTATATTTTAAAAGTTTGTCTAAGTGTTGCTTTAACTCCGTCACATTATCTCTACAATTATATCCTAAAAGTTTTAAATCATTTAGACTATCGCATAATAAGATATTTATAATATAAAATTAGAAATATCTAAAAATAGATATTAGGCTAAAACTAAAAAAACAAACAAAAAATAAAACAATTAGTTAGCCCCAGCTTCATAATTTTTTCATTTTGATTTACTTTATCCACAAATCTTTTCCTAATGACTCTTAGTTTCATTCTTTGTTCAGTGCCTCCTTTAGTGCACTTTTTATTTTATACTTTAGGTATCCATTTTCAAAGCATTATTTATCAAAAAAGTATTATACGGTATACCAAACTTAATAAAAATAGATTCCATTCTAATAACTCCATCATTAAATTTAATAATAGCTAAAAATACAGATAGTTTTAATACTTTTTTTGAACTAAACACACCTTTAGGACACTTTTTCCTAATAACACTATTTACTTCCAAATATTATTATTCAATTGTTAAAACTGCAAATAAACAACGCTTATTCTACATGGTAAAAATTGTTGCTTTAAAGTATGGGTTTTAAATAAATATCAAATCACTTCAACAGCTTAATTATCACCTTATACATCCTGATAATGCAAGGTTTCCAGCTTGAAATGAGAATTGTTTCAATCTCAAGATGCCGTTGCTATTGTGTTTCTATTTACATTAAAATGAATTTTTACCAACTTATTTAAAAGTTTTTTTAAATTCCAGTTATACAGTTTATTTCATTACAACATTTTGCGTGAAAAAAAGCTAAAATAAATTATTTTTTGAATTTTGAAAACAAATGGGGGTATGTACCACCTTAATTTTTGGTTATTTCAAGTAATTTAATAACAATTTTATGCAAAAAAGTTTTTTGGTCTGTTATTCGTTCATTCTAAATGATAGATTTCAAATTGAAATTTAATTTTTTTTATTTATAAAAAAAAAAATTAATTCCAAATAATAATTAATTTATAACGTTTTATTAAAATTTGCTTATTTTAAATTCATTCGTAATAATTCTAAAATGGCGATCAACAGAATAAATTTATTCAGTACATCATTAATTTTTTTTTAATTTCGACTTGATATTTGCCTCAATTACCTAAGTAGATGGTAAAAATAATCAAGTATTTGTAAGATAATTACTCAAAATATACGAGTCATTTTAAAATGAAATTTGAAATATATATTAAACATAGTAACAAAACTCATTTGAGAGAAAATAAATAAGAATAAAGAAAATTTTATAAATGGTGCAAAAACAATTAACAAACATAAAAAACTATAAAGATCATTTTCTGTTTAAGAGTTATCGTTCAAATAACCTTGTTAAAGTTTGGTTTCGCTGAACATTTTAACTAGATCCTGTTTATGGAGTTTTTTTGTTTGTTTTTTTTATTAAAAAAAACTTTTTTACTGTATTTGCATGCAACTCCCCAAATTTAAAATCTTTTTTTTTTTAGTTTTTATTTAATAATATTTTTATATTATTATATATAATTATAATTATATTTATTATATATTTATTATATTTATTATATTTTAATAATCAATTTATTTAATAATAATAATATATTTCAATATATTTTTCAATATAGTTTACATTTTTATCTTTATAACTTGTTATTGGTGATTACTTCGACCTCTAAAGTTTGTTGCAATTGTAAAATGTTTACGTCCTCTGAAATTTGTTGCATTTATAAAATGTTTACTTGCACAAAGTGAGTGTTTTTACTTATAGAAATTTACTATATAATTTACTTGACTAAAATAGAGCTTATCATTGTTTTTAACGAAATTGTTTAATCGGTAAGTATTTTGGTAAGAGGATCCATTTAATCAACATCTTGTTGCTTTATTCGAGTATTGTGTATAACTGTATTTCGAGTTATTGTATATTTCGAGTATTGTGTGTTAATAACTTCTCGCGTTTCAAATATACAGAATGTATAAACAGAAATACATATTGCGAGCCTCTCTTGCGTGAACTTGGAGCTTTAAATATTTATGAACATAACATTCATCAAGCCATGCTATTTATGTTAAAATCAAAGCGTGGTTAATCCCCAGTATCATTACAATCTTGCTTTAATGCAATTTCTCATAACTATCCTACTAAATTTTGAGAAAATAACTTTGTTATTCCCATAACCCATCTTAAAATAAGTTCTTACCAAATTCAATATTGTGGACCTTTTGTTTGGAAAAATTTTAGTCGCATTTTTAATGATAAACTAGAATTCGCCTTAAACTGCACAATGGAAAGTTTTAAGGCTGATTCAAAACGGCATTTACTAAACATGGACTTCGATATATTAGATTTCAAAAACATATTTTGAAAATAATTTAACTGAATCAAAAAATTATTTTAAATCTGTACTATATTTCTTTAACTTTTTAATTTTGTTTGTTTTTGTTGTGTTTTTGTTGATATTAAATTATTTGTCGTTTTAACTAACGGCAAATGTATATATGGAAAAAAAAAGTATATATATATATATATATATATAATATATATATATATATATATATATATATATATATATATATATATATATATATATTGTATGCTAATTAATTTCGATTGCTTTTTTTTAGTATTGCGTGCAATTTTAAACATAAAAAATATTTGTTAAACATCAGCACCATTGTCCTTAACGTTTATCAACTGAGTTTCGTTTTGTATTTTATATCCGGTTATTTTCAGCTGTTAAACAATCAAATCTTCAGTTTTAAAAAATTAATATTCTTTTTCTTTTTTTAAATCATCTCAAACTTCGTTCTTCTTTTTTTACAGACGTATATACTGAAAAATAGCTGTTTTGACCAATGTATTCCGGTCTTATAATTTTTTAAAAATTATCTTAATTTATATGTATACATATATATATATATATATATATATATATATAAATACAGAGACTTAGTATATATAAATTTTCTTTTTTATTCTATATAAAGTTTTACATTTACAAATGTTTTACTTTTTATACTTTTAATAAAATATAATAAAGAATATAACCACCATATCAATAAGAATAAAAATAACAAATATATGTATATATATATATATATATATATATATATATATATATATATATATATATATATATATATATATATATATATATATATATATATATATATAGTTTTATACTATATTTTATTTTATGGGGGGTCAATTTATAGGGAGAGAGTATATTGGTAATGTTAAAATTTTTAAAAGAATTACTAAAAAAAGTTCTTTGCATCTCAACTTTGCGTTCCATTCAAACTTTCTAAAGAAATATTTTAGAAACGTTTATCCTAATTTTTAAAAACTGAATTTTGATAACTAAAACTGTCTTTTTAAATCTAGTAGGTTTAAATTAAAGAGAGCTTTTTCACCAGTGGTTAATGTTTCATAAAAAAGTACCCTTAATTTTTTTCACGAATGTTGGATAAATTAATATAAAAAGTCAAAACTTTAAATTAGTAATGTTTTTATAATATTATATATACGAGTAGTTTATTTATTATTACAAACATACTTTGTTAAATGACTAGAATTTTCAATATGTTTACACAGCGGCGTAGATGGTTTTTTTTTTTTTTTTGTTTCAGATGACACTTTTAGGTATTGCGAAAACTTGAAGCTTATGTATGTTGGTGGTTATATCAAATAAGGGTTAAAATATGTGGTTATGTCAAATAAGGGGTAAAAAAAAAAAAACTAAATACCCCGAATGCTTCACACTGACCAAGAATGTGAGGTATATAAAGTACCGTATGAAATTAGAAATAAAGCAATGTTTGAACTGTTATCTTATAAATGATAATTATTTTAACTATTTTTAGACGATCTGCAAACGAGTCTTGATGATAACGATCCTTGAATATTGGATGCTTTAAGGATTTTAGAGTGTTTTTAAGAGTGTTTTTTAACATTGCAGGAGCAATGTTAAATATTATATAAAGAAATATGATATGAACATTTCTTTATATAATATTTAAATCATCAGATTCAAGACTCTTTTAAATCTAAATCTAATAGCTATTTTAAATTTATCGCAAATCAAGTCAATAAAATATTGGTCAGTAAAATATAGTTTAGACTTAATTGGTGTTAAGAAATCAATAACAGGTATCAATATTCATTTATTAATAAACAGATGGATAAATTTAAATCATGAATCATGTGTATGAGCAAACCGTCATGTTAACTTCTTATGTATATGTAAACTAAAATCATGATCAACTCATATGTTAGTGTAAGCTTAACCTGAAAAGCGTGTTACATACGTTTGTAAGCTAAAATCGAACACGATTAACTTATATTTTAGTTTAAGCCTAAACTGTAAAGCGTGACATATATGTTTTTTTAGCTAAAACCTAACATGATTAACTTTTATCTAAGTGTAAGCTTAAACTGTAAAATATGTCACATGTGTGTGTTAGCTATAATCTAAATTTTATGTAAGTTTAAACTCTAAAGCTTGTTTATTTACAGAGACATTGATAAATTAACATTTCATTAAAAAAAAAAAAATAAAAACATCCGAAAAAATGTTTTTAAAAATAACATTTTCAGTAAATAACTTTCAAATATAAATAGAAATTTGAAAAGCACGAAAATAGTACTCAATAGTATATAATTTTCATCTTTTTAAGGTTTTATTTATAATTTTATAACAGTCTGTATGAAGTACAAAAGTAAAAAAAGCCAGGAATATAATTCTTGATATAAAATATGATATTTAATATAAATTATAATATAGAGTCACTAAGACAAAAGTAAAAATATATATTAACACAAAATAATAAACTAAATTATTATTTTGTGTCAAAAAGATTTATTCATTCACCAAATCTAACTCAAAACTTTGAGTGTAAATCCATAGTTTTGATAGTCTTAAGAGAAATATTTTACAAGTTAACATACATGCTTACAAATATTTATAAATTATTACAAACATTTTACAGCTAAACTTTCTTAAAATCACAAATACCAATTTTTAAAAATTTTTAAATACAAATTATAATAAAAATAAACACCGGACGCTTTTCATTTTGTATGTATAACCGTATTAACAGATTTAAAATACTAAAAGCAGTCAATCGTTTCAAAAGCTGTTTAATGAACTCATTTTTTAGTTTCATTATTCCACCAATCATTATATAGAACTGGCCATGAAGAAGCCGTGAGACCGCGAGTCGCTAATTTAGTTGAATCGTCATAAGGTGTAGCCGCTCTTTCAAAAGTTCGTACTGAGCCCGTCATATGTTTACCTACTCTCTCAACCGAATTATGCTCGTGTAAAACATTATCTTCATTAGTATCAGGATAATGAAGGACTTCTTTTTTAAGTACTAACGGAGATGTTGGAGCAGGGTTGAGCAAAGGATTGCCTCGCTCATTATACAAATTTAAATATTTAACTTTATTTATTGCATCTTTAGATGTTTTAGATAACTGAGTCAACGATGGGTGTTGAGAAATACTTTGGCCAGCATTATTGCTTGCAGAAGTTAGTTCTTGTTTTTGGTTTTTATAAAACTCATTTTTCAAGTCTTGCGAGTCTCTAGTTTTCAAAAAAACATTACGTTCATTTAAAACCGCTTTGTCTCCTTTAAAACCTGTTATCGAGTTCTCATGCTTTGCACCAGCTTGGTTTTGCGACAAAAATTCTGAAAAGGTTTAATGTTATCATAGTTAAAACTTAACAGATTTCAACTTTCTGGAAGTCCGGTAAATTTTGATTTGTGTGTAATTAAATTATATACAACCTAATTTAACTGCAAATTAAAAGTTGGTACATATAATAGAAACCTACACAATGCCTTAATAACGGAGAATTATTCACATTAAAATACCTGACGGGGAATCTGCTTGACCGATATCCGCTAAACTCAGAGAAGTGTATTGACCTAAATATTTAATATGTATACATAATATATAAACACAAAATAAAGTAAAAATAATTAAATTTTAAAAAGTGTTGAAGTCTATATTTTAAACAAAATCAAATTTTTGGTTTTGATTTTGTTTGTCAACTATGTATCAACTACGGCGCGTTCTATAGCGGAAAAGACTTTTAATAAATTAGTATTGACGTAGACACAAAAGTTTATTTAAAATATATTTTTTTATAAAAAAGTTACTTTAAGTTATTTTATTGGTGCAGAAAATTAAAGTTTTTTTCCAATGTTATATGATAAAAAGTCTCGTTACAAATACTATTTTTGACATAAATTTCAGTGCGCAAGTGGGTATCCATAAAATACGTACGCAGAAAAACCACAGATTTAGGACCTTAAAAACAATAATAAATTTTTAGTCAATTCGACATATTTATGTTATACTAGCTGTCATGACCCGTAAAATACGGGTCTTTAGGATATTGATGCACACTTTATCTGCGTGCTACAGTTCATAAGAACTATTATCCGGTTTATAACGCAAGAAAATCTCAATCAAATGAAAACATCTAAATGATAACTTTTAATGTCCTAAATAAAGATACGAAGATTAAACTTATTGATTGCGTAAACACTAACTTTAACATAAATGGCATTTGCGAGACACTTCTTGCAACTTATGTCAAAATTTAATTATGACTCTAAAATCCTAAAGGATAGGGGGGAGACGCTTTTTTTGTCGCTTTTATCTAAATTAAAAAAAAAAAAATCAAACAATGTAATAATCTAAAAATAATAATATGATAATGTTACTATCAATGTAAAAAATCTAAATCCAAATGTCAAGGATTAAAGAGATGTAAGAAAAAATTTGTAAAAAATTCTTTTTTTAAGCCTTTAATTTTATCTTTTTTTAAGTATTTAACTAAGCATTTAACTAAGCTTCGTGCTTAGTTAAATGCTTCAAAGTCAAGAAAGTTTTTTCTCAAAAAGACTTGGAATATGTCAAGAAAGTTGGAAACTAAGTGATAAACTTAAAAAACTTAAAAAAGACTTCACGAAAAAACAAAATTTTGAAATTTGTGAACGATTTTTTTTCTCTCGTCAGCGAAGTTGGTTCTGTGTCAAAATGCGAGGATCAAACTTTTGATTAATATCTTTACATATGTTGTCTATATACAATATCTATAAAACTTTATAAGTATTTGAATTTAAAAAAATCTAAAAAAAATTAAAACAGTAGTCGCCGACAGTAGGACTCTAACCACGGCAGCTATGTAGCGAAGCCCAGCGCGCTAACCACTCGACTACGCTGACGCATTAAGTAATGAAGATTCAAAATTATATAAAAATTGTTTTTAACGGATATAGATGCAAAAGATTAGAAATCAAGCTGAGGTTGACGAAATGCAGTTCTTAAGTGAAAATCAAAGTGTAGAACTTGATATATGTTTAAGCATGTTTTAACATTACACAACTTGAATCTATATACAATATCTATAAAACTTTATAAGTATTTGAATTTGTATTTAAAAAAATTAAAAAAAAAAAAAATTAAAACAGTAGTCGCCAACGGTAGGACTCGAACCACGGCAGCTATGTTCCGACGCACAGCGCGCTAACTACTCGAATACGCTGACGCATTAGGAAATGAAGATTCAAAATTATATAAAAATTGTTTTTAACGGATATAAATGCAAAAGATTAGAAATCGGTATTATGCTAATATTAAATAGTTTAACTTTTAATTATTTTTAGAAACAATAAATTTTATAAAATAATTTAGTGTACATATAAAATTAAAATCTTTAATTATGTTCAAAATAAAAATATACTTTTTAAGCCCCCTTACCATTTTTAAAAAAAGTTATGGTCGCCGCGTGGCAAGTTCATCAGCTTGGCACGCGGTTTTGTTGTTTAAAATGCAAATCAAAAGTTATATAGATTTTATATTCTATATATAAACATGTTTTTTACTAATTTTCCTTGCTCAATTTAGTTGTAAATAAACTTGAAAAGTTTAACTAAAATAACATAAGTATCTCAATAATGACACATGCGCAAAAAAAATAAAAAAGAAGGTCGCCGATAGTAGGACTTGAACCAGGGCTGACTTGGTCAGAAGCCCTGCGCGCTAACCACTCTACTACGCTGTCACGTAGTGTCATGAAGATTTCAAATTATATAAAAATTGTTTTTTAACGGATAAAAACGGAAAAAAAGAAGAGGGTTACTTTGTTCTTTCGTAATATATAAATATATATATATCCTAAATACTATAACTAAACAAAATTGTTCATCTATTAAATTAGTAACTTTAAATTATCCCAAATCATTGTTTGATAAAATATGGTCATAAATCGTTATATTATGCATACATAACTTAAAACAAAAAAACTTACGTTCACAATTTTTGCCATCGTAACCAGATGTACATTTGCAAAGATAACCAGTATCATCAAAATTAGCAGTTGGATCTATTGTTCCATCAACACAAGTGCTATTGTGATAACATGGAAAAGATGAGCACGCAGGATAAGGAACTAAAACCATTATTTTATGCTTATATATTTTTATAATTTTGTTATCCATTTATTTACATACCAAATAGCCCAACCTTTACTAGCCCATTAGCTAAACATACGCTTACCAATTAAACCAACCTACATTTACCCATTTATACTCATCTTTACCTGATACATCTCTCACTTACCTTCACAAACTTTTCCACTAAATTGAGGCTTGCAATAACATTTGAATTCCTGTTCATCAATAATGTGAAGATCAGGATCATTATTGTTCATAAAATCAACACAACGGCCACCTTGTAAACAAGGTGAATAATAACATGGTCCACGTGTTTTAATGGAAACTAAGAAAACAAAAATTTAAATGAGCTGCATCAAAAAGTGCAAAATTTTAATAATGTAACATTAAAAAGTCACAATAAAATAGTAAAAAGTGTAAACAAAAAAACACACACTTTCACAATTCCGTCCTTTATATCCTTTACTGCAATTACATTTATATCCATGAGCATCAAAGCTTACAAAGGGAAGATTATCTGAATCTAAGCATGTCCCTTGATTCTCACAAGGATGTAATTCACATGGAAAACGTTTAACTAAAAAAATAATGGCATAATATAACAGTAAAGGTGAGTCTATTCACGCGCATGTGCAAATGGACTATAACTTATTATAGTCTTTTTGCACCTGAGAAAAAAACCTAAAGTTAAATTTTTATAATAAAAATGAACAAATATATCGAGTGGAAACGAAAAAATCCAGTCAATTTTAATTTGAGATTTCTCAAAAATCATAAATGCTTTTTATTTCAATTTTTTTATATTAAATGTATTTACATCAGTATTCGTTTCTACTAAATTTTAAAGGGCTTTTTGTCAAGAGATCGAATAATATAGCGGGTTGATGGCTTTATTTTGCAGTTTTTATCTTTTTTCACCTTATTGGTGGCATAAATATACTTTTGGAGTCTTTTTTTACCTTTTTATTACTCCTCCTGTCTTACGAAGAATTCCTTTAATTATTAGCCAAAAATCTTTAATCTTTTGCTTCTCATGACAATATGGAGGATTCACATCTTTAGGAACAAAGAATTTCTTTCTTCCACTAATCTATGACCGTAGATTTTGGGACATTTGTATGTTTAGCAATCATGTCGATGAAATCAATGAATTTTTTTAATGAAGTCTATGGATTTTTTTGAATTTGATGTCGATGTTGATGTCGATGTTAAAATTGAAATCAATGAAATTTTTTCAATGAAGTTGATGGATTTTTGCTAAAAAAATCACAACGTTTTTACCCACCCCAATTTGCTTTCAAATCATTTGGAAAATCATTGATTTGTAAACAATGTTTATCAACATAATTAAATATAAGGGAGCAATGTTTAATTAAAAAAATAAAGGAAAAAAAAAGGATTTTTTCATATCCACCCGATAAGTTATTTACTTTAAAAGTCATATAATCTAAAGTAATAAAAACAATTATAATTACCTAAATATTATCAAATTTTTATTTTACAAATTTCATTAAATTAGAAGATTTTCCTATTTTTTATTAAACGTGCAAATATAATATATCAAAGAGTGTCAATCATCACATGAAAGCGTACAAATAGACACTCCGATAATAAAAAACAAAACAAAAAAACATAAACAATTGTATTATTAATAATAATAATATTAACAATAATAATAATAATAATAATAATAATAATAACAATAACAACAACAACAATTATTATTTTTGTCTTATTAAATTTAAAGATTTACTTTCACAATTTTTTCCAGCATACCCTCTTGTACAAAAACATTCATAATCATCTGGATGTTTAAGATGCAGCTTATGACTTTCACTGGAAGAATCAAAACATGTTCCATTATTCATACATGGAGAAGAGCTACATGCAGCAAGATCAATTTCTGTAACAAAAAACTTTAATTAAACCAAATCAAAACTTTTTTATTCTTTGTAAAATTTGTTTTTGTAAAACGTTCTGCTTACTTATTAACTTATAAATTATTACAAACTTACAAACATGTAACCAAGTTATAAGAATTTATTTAAATAGTTAATTCAATATGTGAATTAAACTGCACCAAAAAAACTTTTTTGATTTTAACTTTTTTAAAAGTGATTTTTGACTTTTATTGAAAATGGTGAATTAATATATACTGATACAAGAGCTGTTCTCTAGAAAATGCTAATACATAGAAATGTAAAAGAATATCTGCTCAAAAAACACTGAAAACTGATAAATTTATAAGTTAGGGGCTAGTTATTTATAAAGAGACTTTGTTAGCTTATAAGTTAGTAGCAAGTTCCTTAATTGGTGAGCTGGTTAATAAGTTGATTGCAATTGCTAAGTTGAAACAAATTTACTTTTAAAAGATCTTAATTTTGTAAGGTATATTTTAAAGACTTTTTGAAAGTAGGTAAGAACTTGAGCTTTTTATTTTTTATAAAGACACAAATCACATTAAAAAAAAATTTAAAAACAAATATAGCTTTTTAGTTAAGTCATTTTAAATTTTAGCCAAAACAAAGTAAAAATTATAAAAAGTTGAAATAATAAATTACTTATTCTACAAAATATAGTTTATAAAATAGAAACCTTCACAAAATTTTCCACGATATCCTTGCATGCAAAAACATTTGAAGTCACGGATTCCAGTAATAGACACTCCTCTTTCTTTTTTGTTTGATTCATCAATACAAAGACCATTGTGTAAACATGGCGTTTCAGAACAAGGATTAGGATCTGGAATAATTTTTAAAACAGTGCAAATAACAAAAACTTATTTCTAACATAAAAAAATATATATTAAATATAACACAAAAATATATTTAACATAGCAAAAAGTTGAATATTTTAGAATCTAATGCAATAACTGAGTTGCAGTCACATGGACTGATTTTGCATGGTGCTACTTATAGACCTAAAGTGATCTCAATGGCCTGGAAAAAAAAGGTGTGTTCAATGGCCTCAAAAAAAAACATTACCTTAAAAAACATTGAAAATATACAAAGCTCAAAAATCTAACTAATCAAAAGTAATGAAAACACGATTGAAAATTGTGGTGCATAAAAGTTGTGGTGTATTAAGTTGTGGTGTATAATAGTTATGATGAATAAAAGTTGTAGTATATAAAAATTGAGGTGTATTAAGTTGTGGTTTATAAAAGTTGTAGAGTATAAAGTTGTTGTGTATAAAAGTTGTGATGTATAAAAATGTGGTGTATAAAGTTGTGATGTATAAAAGTTGTGGTGTATAAAGTTGTGGTGTATAAAAATTGTGGTGTATAAAGTTGTGGTGTATAAAAATTGTGGTGTACAAAGTTGTGGTGTATAAAAATTATGGTGTATAAAAGTTGTGTGTAAAAGTAATGGTGCATAAAAGTTGCAGTATACAAAAAATTTACACGTAAATTTACATTTACATGTAAATTTTTTTTGCCTGAATATTTTTAGTTCTTGAGTGGCCATTATTGAGTTTTTATAAAATTCAAAGAAATTTAAAGGTAATAAAAACATTGCTTTTTTGCTTTTCAATTATGAAAAAACTTAAGGAACATATTTTTCACATTTTGGGGAAACTAATATGTATAAACTAATACGTAGGCAAACCTTAGTAAAAAAAAAAACAGAGTTTAACAATGTAATAAAATTTGGAATAGTTTAAAAAGTTTTGACCTATCAAAATTTTTAAAAAGCTAAGTCCTGCATACAAAAAGGAGCCATTATGGGAAAATATAAAGTTCAAAAGATAAAATGTACAAACTTTTTGTCTCTCCATATAATCCATATTGTCATTATTTTAAAGTAAATTACAAAACTTAAGGTGTTGTTCAAAAAGATGCAAATCTGATAAATTTTTCTATAAACATTTTTAACCTGACATTAAAACAACAGTAATATTATATTGTTAGTTTTTTATTCAGAATAGTTGACAAACCAAAATATGTTTAAGAAAACTCATTGATGAAAGGAAAGTTATAAAAACACACATACATATATGTATGTGTGTGTACACATATATGTATGTGTTTGCAATACACACACATACATATATGTATACACACTGTTTATACATATATGTATGTGTGTGTAGTATTCATATTAAACAAATATGTTACCAACTTACTTTTTTTAAATTTAACAGTATTTATAGTATGCTTTATTAAATTATTAATTTCTAATTTATAAATTTAGGGAAACGGACTGGTTGTGATTTTATAAGTATCGTTCTTGCGTTCTTTGAACCTCATGTCTGGTCATACCAGGTGTCTCGGTATAAAGTGAGTGGTAAGATGCAAATGTGTTGATGGGGAACATTTGCTGTGAACGAATTTTAATTTCTTTTTTGGTTTGGTTGTCATTTGGTTGTCATACCAACATTTGTCAAACATATCGAAAATACATAAAGTCATTGAACAAACAACATCATTCAAAACTATTCAGCAGTTGCTTATCAGCCTGCTGAAAAGAGGCATCTCTTATCCCTATTTTCAAAAATTATGGAGAGCAATCTGATTCGCCCAACTACTATCCCATTAGTCTTCTTCCTATCATAAGCAAGGTTTTTGAAGGTTTTTAACAAACACTTAATCTCTCATCTTGAATCTAATAATTTACTTTCTGATCATCAACATGGATTTCGATCTTCTCGTTCTACAGCTGATGTGCTAATAGTAATAACTGCTAGGTTTTATCGTGCATTTGATAAAGGTGAAGAGGTTAAGGCCATTGCTCTTGACATTTCTAAAGCACTTGATAAAGTTTACATGCTGGTCTTCTCTATAAGCTTTCTTCTTTCAGTGTATCTGGTAACATCTTCAAGATTATTGAATCCTTCCTTTCCAATCAAAGTATAAAAAGTTGTCCGCAATGGACAGTACTCTTCTTATTCTGTAACTTCAGGGGTTCCTCAAGGTTCAATCCTTGGCCCTATACTCTTTTTAATTCACATTAATGATCTTCCAGATATTCTCACATCTAAGGTGGCGTTGTTCGCTGATGATATTACCATTTATTCTTGTCATGATAAGAAGCCTTCACTCTCCGATTACTTGGAGAGGGCATTTGAGCTTGAAAAGGATCTAATTTCTGCTACAGCATGGGGCTCACAGTGGCTGGTGAACTTTAGTCAGATAAAACTCAATTTTTTTCAGGTAATTGTTTTCACAATAATTTAAATCTTTCTACATTTATGAACGATAATGTACTTGATGAGTCACCTACCTTTCATCTTCTAGGATTAACTCTTACTTATGATCTTTCTTGGAAACCATATATCAAATCCGTTGCAAAATTAGCACCTGCTAAAGTTGCATCTTTTTATCGAGCTCAACACTTTCTTACTCCGGATTCTATTCTCTATCTCTATAAATCTCAAATCCAGCTTTGTATGGAATATTGTTGTCCTATCTGGGGTGGATCTTCTAATGATGCCCTTTCTCTTTAAGACAAGGTGCAAAAACGCATTGTAAACATAGTTGGACCTGCTCTTGCAGCCAATCTCCAACTGTTATCACATCATCGTAATGTTGCTTTTCTTTCTCTTTTCTACAAATACTATCATACTGCTCTAAAAAATGTTATAAAAAAAAGTTTTTTTTTGATGTTAAAAATTTTTTTTTTTTTAAAAACAAAAAAAATTGATTGATTTTCAATATTGATTTGCTGTATCGAATTAGCGAAAAAAAAAATACTATATACTTGTTAATAAATATTAGAAATATATAATTTAATTTTTTTTAACTGTATCCACCTCCCCAGGCCAAACAAGCCACTGCAAATAAAACACAAGCAAAGCTGCTGTGCAGAAATATAAATTTGTGCGCACTACCAGGGACATGGTGGGATCCAAGTCGAGTTTCCAATTATATTCATATTTAAAAAATTAAAAATAATTAAAAAATTTTATTAGATGAATAGTTTATAAATAAATAATATTTTATATATTATATATATATACATACAATATATATGTGTGTGTGTGTATATATATAAATATATATATATATATATATATATATATATATATATATATATATATAATATATATATATATATATATATATATATATATATATATATATATATATATATATATATATATATATATATATATATACATATTTAAATCTCTCTCTCTTTATATATCTTTTTTATTATCTATTTGCTGATATATTAATTAATCTGCGTGAAGTCTGCATCAGGTTAGCAGAAAAAATGTGAAACAAAGGTTTGGTCATAAAACATAGAAACAAGATCGGCAATTTTTAACTGAGCTCAAACACATTTAAGTCGGCAGTTAGGTCAGGCACCCTCAAGCAATAAAAACATAACTTGTAATGAAAGTTAAAGACTACAAATAAAAATGAAACAAAAATTCTTATAATAACAAAAAAATTTAAGATAATTGGTTTTTCAGAATTTTATTTAATATATAAAATAAGTATGTTAACTTTAATATGTTTAAACACTCAATTTTTTGGCTAGATACTTTTTTAGCAAAATTATCAGTTACTTTTTGTCAAAGGTATTAATAATTAATGTGATAATGACTTCTATTAAAAATAATACTGTTTTTAATTATTTTTAAATATACAATTGATTTTTCCTTGGCTTAAGATTCATTAACTTAAAATTAAATATACAAGTTAAATAAAAACTCCTAATAACCAAAAACCTAGTAACATAAAATCACTCTATTTAGTTGTCTTTCTCTGAGTTCATCTTGTAATTTTGTTTTCTACAACAGTGACATAATATAAACCCTTAAAAATGTGAAAACATGAAACATACATTCACATCTGCTTCCTACGTAACCAACTTTGCATTCACAAGAAAATATTTTTCCATCCTGTCCTGATTTACATACACCTCCATTATCACATGGGTTTGGTTGACAAGTGTTTCCCATAGCTAAAAAATAAATTATTGTAGTTTTAAAAACAGAATGCAAACAAACACAACAAATGCTATCTTAAATCTTCCACTTAAAAGTATCATTGCGGACTTTTATTTGTATAAAAAAAAAAAAAAAATTGAGAAAGAATAAAGATCTGAGAAAGATCATTCTTCTCAAATAACTACTAACAACTCACCATTGCACTTAAAACCATTTCCAACAAAACCAGGCTTGCAAACACAATGACCATGTCGACAAAAGGCATATTGGTGACAATCTGCACATTTGTCAACTACAAACCAAAAAAATATATATTATTATCTATTTATATTATATATATACATACATACATACATACATATATATATATATATATATATATATATATATATATATATATATATATATATATATATATATATATATTTACACACACACATATATATATATCATTTTAAATATGATATAAGTTTATGCCAATTATCAAAGTAGATGTGATGTAAATAGTCTGATAAAAATAGTTTTAACAATTGAACACTTTGATTAAAACACCGAAACAAAAAATGTGAAAATAATTTATTTATCATTCTTTTGTTGATACTAGTCCACATTGTTTTTAAATTGGTTTTAAAGCTGTGAGAATATTTTATCTGGTAATTTATTCGGCATGCGGCTCAAATAAGGAGAAGTCATTTAGAAGGATATTGAACAAATTCAAGTTGAAAAGTTGTTTTGAAACTCAAGTTGTTCATCAACTTGTTACAATATATATTTTCTTTAAGGTAAGGAGACTGGTAAAGAGAAAATTTTAGTACAAAGATTCTCAAACATTTATTTATCAATATATAACTAAAGGTTCCCTTTAGCATACCAAACGCTTAACTTATAATTTCTTGATTAGCCGAGAAATTATTACACAGATCTTTCTCATACATTGACTCTTTTTAATACTTACGTTGGAATGCATGTTTTTTTATCATGAATGCAATAGACTATAATACTTTGACATATACAGCCATGCAGTGTTGCATGCAATTGATTACAATGCTAGGGTATAATCAATCATGATCATGTTATGGTACAGTAAATTAACATAGAAATTACCCTAATGTTGTATGCAAAGATATCAAATAAATAATAAAATTTTGAAAATGAATTAATGTACATGTAATGTAGCTTGTAATTGATTACAAGCTACATGTAATGTAGCTTGTAATTGATTATAATGCTATAGTACAATCAATCATGCTATGTCGCCAGCAAATAATCATGTTATGGTACAATAAATTAACATAGAAATTACCCTAATGTTGTATGCAAAGATATCAAATAAATAATAAAATTTTGAAAATGAATTAAGAAAATGAAAGAAAGTAAACGAAGAATATTGTAAAGTTTTAAATTTAGTAGAAAAAAAACACACACACACAACTTAAATAGAAAAGCTAGATAAATAATATAATAAAATAAATCAACTTAAACATCTAATAAGGTAGAGAGAAGACTATACCTTCACAAAGTGGTCCTTCAAAGCGTGCTCTGCACTTGCATTCTATATGATCATCCATTCCAATGCATTGCCCTCCATGCATGCAAGGATTTGTACTCAATGAACATCTGTCTTTTACTAAATAAAATTGTTTCATTAAGCTATTTGCTCATCTATACAAATAATTTATCAAACAATTTTCCACATGTCAATCAAACATTTTCCACATGTCAATCAAATATTTTCAACATGTCAATCAAATATTTTCCACATTTCAATTAGTAAACAGTCAGTGCTATAACTTGTTTTAAATTTTTTGAAAAAATGTGTAAAAAAATAATTTTTTATAAACATAAAGTTATTCTAATAACATACATTTATACAAATAAAAACAATTAGGTTAACGATTTAGAATTAAAATTCATAGAACTATAAAATTTTAATTACTTTCACAATTAAATCCTTTCCAGCCAGACGGACATTCACATTCATAGCCATGAATAGACTTTTTTAAGCTACACTTGCCGCCATGGTTACAGGGATTAGGTTCACAAGGATGAGGATCTTAAAAAAAAAAAGAAAACACAATCAACTTAATGTTTTAAAATGAAAGTAGACTGAGTAACAACAAGATAAATCAAAAATAATCAGATGAATAATTACATTAATCAGGTAATTTTATTATTCAACTAAATTACATTAAAAATGTAAGGGTCAAGCAGAATAAAAAACCCTATTTATAGAGTAAAATGATAAGTTAATTATATATTTATTCATTAATTTGTAAATATATAAACATATACAAAAAATATAATACTTTTAAATAGTAAGTTTAAAAAAAAAAAAGAAAAAAAAAAGAATTTATTAAAATAAGTAGTTAAATATAAACTTTTGTTTAAATAAATTGTTAATTGAATGTTTGTATGAACTTTTTTATTTAGAATTTATAGCTAAGTAGCTTCAATTTCTAATAAAATATCTAATCAACTCCATCAGTTTATCTATTTTAAACTCCATCAGTTAATCTAGTTAAACTCCATCAGTTGATCTATCTTAAACTCCATCAGTCGATCTTTAAGATCAACTATTAAGCTTGTTTAGACCAAACTTTACAAAAAAAATTGTCTAAAAGACCTGAAATGTTATTTTTAAAAACTATTGAAGTTGTCAAATAATTATATTAGCAGAAAAGCCTAAAATTGATTATGGGAGATATGTTAAGTATGTTAACTCAATTTACTAAACTGTTAGATTCTTCTGCAATAACAAAGAGATTGAACAACATATTCATAAAATAAACAGATTATTCACCAATATTTAAAAAGCTCTATGAACATTATCAATATTTTGACTATATATATATATATATATATATATATATATATATATATATATATATATATATATATATATATATATATATATATATATATATATATATATATATATATATATATATATATATAAAATACATAAAATATATACAATTCTTACACTTATGATCCACTAATTCAATTTAACTTTTTGATTCTTAAACTTACAGACATTTGTATATAAGGTTTTATAAATAGAATATTTACATTTACATAATTTTAATTTACATAAGTGACATATTTACATAACTTTTTACAAATTTTTTGTACTTTCTTATAAAAAAAGTGGTAAAAAGCTTTTGCTTGCCTTCTTCTTTAAATGGATGCCGCCAACTGATTTAATTTAGATAACTAATAAATTAATTTAGTTATTTAACTATTATTATGATTTGTTTGTGTTATGTTTGTTGAGTTGTTGTTTGATTTTAAATTTTTTCCCCTTTATTTATTATGATGAATATTTTTAAAAAAGAACTTCTCTGATTTGGAAAAAACTACTTATATTCTGAATTTAAATTCAATTTATAATGTTAAGTAGATACTTCGATATTAAATAGATACTTCGATATTAAGTAGATACTTCGATATTAAGTAGATACTTCGATATTAAGTAGATACTTCAATATTAAGTAGATTCTTCGATATTAAGTAGATACTTTGATATTAAGTAGATACTTCGATATTAAGTAGATACTTCGATATTAAGTAGATACTTCGATATTAAGTAGATACTTCGATATTAAGTAGATACTTCGATATTAAACCATATTTCTACTATGACTGAAAAATGTAATTTTTTATTAACTAAACAAAGTGTTTAATTAATAAAAAATCAACTGATTAAATAATTGATTGTTACAGACTATAAACTTTAGGAATATTGAATATTAATATTTATAATCTCCTTCATACAAATTTTATAACATGAAGCATAATTTCCTGAATATTGTTATATTCTTTTAAATACAAAAACCTATTGCAACACAAATTATGCATATATTATATATATACATACCAGGGCTGTGGAATTGGAGTCGGAGTTGCAACATTTTTAGCGGAGTCGGAGTCACTAAACAAAATTGTGCCTCCGACTCCAATAGTAAAACTTCTCGGTATTGCACGTGCATGTACAAAACATTCAATTAACCTTATTTTCATACTAAACCTCAAAAAACATTTCATAAATTTGTCAAAAAAATTTTTTTTTTTTCTTATTGCATAATATTTTTAAAAGAATTCAAAGAATTTTTTAAAAATTTTGCTTTGGATTTGTAGTCGGAGTCAGAGTTGTACTCAAAAAATTTCAACAACTGGAGTCAGAGTTGTTACTTTTTTTTTACGATTCCACACCCCTGATATATATATATATATATATATATATATATATATATATATATAATATATATATATATATATATATATATATATATATATATATATATGTATATACAGGGCTCGAATTAAATGATCCCGAATTGCAATATCCAAAAATATCTATGGTCATTAAATTCTTAGTTTTTTTAAAAAACGTAAACACTGTTTCAATGAAAACAGTCAGTTTATCATATTGCAAAAATTAATTAAAAAGCAAAACAATAAATTTACTACAGCAAAAATAATAACAGTCAAAATTTATATATTTTTAGTTTATGTTTTTTAAACAATAATTAAAAATATGTGATTTAAGGATTATTAATAAAAAAAGTTGCAAGACAAAAATTATTATTATTAAAGGTCCGAAAAACTTTTGCGGTAATTTAAACATCAACCAATGAAAAACTATGCTTAAGCTATTTGCGCATTGTATAAAACTTTGTATAAAAAAACAACCAATTAAAAAGTATGCTAAAGCTACTTGCGCATTATATAAGACAAAAAAATAGATTTTTATTTAGGGGGAAAGTTTATGGAATTATTTATTTAAAAATTAAATGTTAGAATTTAATTATTAGAATTTAATTATTAGATTAATGTTAGAATTTAATTATTAGAATTTAATAATTTAATAAGAAAAAAAATTATAAAGTATATTTTTTTTAAATATGTTATTAGAGTTTCTTTTTTTGTTTTTGTTTTAAAGTAATTATAAAGTATTAAAAAGTTTAAATTAGTTTTTATATATTAACTCCTCCGTCTTTTAATTTTATATTCGTATCAGCTAAAGTGTTACAAGCATTAAATTTATAAAAAAATATTAAATGAGATTTAAATATATAAAAGTATTTTATATCATATTTAACAATTTCTTTTATTTAAAATATTCAATCACTGTTAAAGTCTTTTAGATTGTTGTGATTAGAGCTTGTTTTTTAATATTTATATTGTACTTTATCGTTATTTATTTTTCTAGTTTTATCTGATGTTTTATAAAATAAATCAAAATATTGAAGTTTAAATTATAATCTATAATAATAATAAAAATAATAATGATAATATGGTTTTACATTAAGATTTAATATCATAATCGAAGTAAATATTTTTTATTAAATGATATCTATTGAGTTTAGTGATCAAAACAGTTTTATGGTTTTTAAAAAGCTAAAATTTTAAAGACCGGACGCATTTCCAGATATCGCAATTCGCAATCACTTAATTCGAGCCCTAATATATATATATATATATATATATATATATATATATATATATATATATATATATATATATATATATATATATATATATATTTGTTACTATATTTACTACTTTACTATTACTATTACTTTACTTTACTATTATTACTGTTAACAAGCTAAAATCACAAGCAAAACCCTGTGATTTTAGCTTTCAGCAAAAGTTGTTTTCTCTACTTGTGCACTTCTCCTGTGACCTGAATTTACATTTGTAACCATAATTTTGGAAATGACATGTTTTGGTGATCAAAAGAAATCTTATTCTTGAAAACAAATTTTGTCAGTATATAAAGTTAATTTATATTACAAACAAACTTTTCATGTTTATTTCACTTCAGTCTTTAAAGTTTGAAAAATATTTAAACAAAAAAAACATTTGAAACAATAAAAAAAAAAACATTTAAATTTGAACAAAACATTCAAACCTGAACAAAAAAAAAAAAGTTCAGAAATTCCCTGAATTACGGTGGTTCAATCCTGCCACAATCTTGATGCACATTTTTGATGCACAAATCAACTAATAAAAACGTCACACTAAACTTAATATATTTTACTGTTTTTTGATTTCCATTGTTCTAACTGATACATGTATCACTTAGCTTCTTCTAACTGATACATGTATCACTTAGCTTTTTCTAACTGATACATGTATCACTTAGCTTTTTTCTAACAGATACATGTATCCCTTAGCTTTACATTAACTGATTCATGTATCGCTTAGCTCTTTTCTAACTAATACATGTATCAGTTAGCTTTTTTCTAACTAATAAATGTATGACTTAGCATTTAGTTAAGTAATACATGTATCACTTAGCTTTTAGCGAGTTAAAAAATTTAAATTCGTGTTGCACATTTAGACTGTTTTTAAGAAATACCACGCTATTAAATTTTTTTTTCTTACTGTTGCAATAACATTTAAAATATAATTAAATTTAAATAAATTTTATAATATACAAACAACAACTTGAACAGATATTCCTGAAATCTGGTATAAAGTGATATCATTACAAAAAATAGACTTTCTTTAATGATTTTGCTAAGATAGATGAAAGCCTTGAACCGGTAAGTATTATTTTGCATTATTTTTGAATATATAAATATCAACATTATATAAAAACTGAAAAACTGGTTAATTAGATTAAATTTATATCAATATTATATAGTATATATTTTTTTTTTTTTTTTTTTTTTTAACATCTTTACTTCCAACAAGGCTGCAAGCAACCACTATAAGAGTTGGAAGTTACTGGAAGAGAAAAGACTAAATCTGTAGAGCAAGATAACGATTGACTGATGACATAAAAGATTGCAAATTATATGAATCAGGAAAGCAAGATGAAGGAAGCGAATTCCAAAGAACTGATGTTCGAGGAAAAAAACTAGAAGAATAAGAGTTTTTGAAGCACTTAGGAACAGTCACAGAAAAAGGATGAGACTTAATTGAATGGCAAGTAACACGAGAATGAATTTTAGTAGATGGCACAAGGGACGCTAGCTCTTTAGAGCAGTACCCATTATAGTATTTGTAGAAAAGAGAAAGAGAAGCAACATTACGACGATG